CCTAAAACCTGCTAGTAGACTGGGCCCTGGAAGAGTTACCAGTATCTTCTGGGTAATTTTAAAGGGACTGGTTCACCATAATGCGCATGCGCGCTGTTTGGCTCTTCAGAATAAATTTGTTGGGTCAACACTAAATTCGAAGTCGCCATTACCGGTACAATCACTGAAAATCCTTCGTTTTATTCTGACATCCGTCGCTTTGGCTGGTCTAGTTATACTTCGGTAGTGGTGATTAACGCGTGGTTGTGTCGTTTGACTGGTTACGTTTTAAGAAGACGCAAAAAATAATGTTTTGATCATGGAGGTTCAGAAGAGCATCGTGGCCGTCCGGCAACAGGACGTTCTCAAGAGTCTTAGGAGATAGAGAAGCTTAGCCTATCGATCTGGTATGGTTCTAGGAGTAGTGTGTGGCCTACGAAAAGAATACACGACACTTGGAAAGTGGTTAAAGGCATGAGTTCGTTCAACTTTGATTTGATTTTTGACTCCGACCTGTAGTTATACCGCAACAGGCCGCGTGATCTTCACCGATTTGGTAGACTTGAAATGTTCCTTGTATCTTTGCTTTACGATCGTATATGTTTAAGAATTGATGTTTTTAAAATAAATTATTGCCTGAATATTCTGTTTATAATATAGTTTCTTTATGTGTGCTACTCGATAACATTTGTTTTGCGGAACACTGACCCGATGTAACGCGAATGAATTTGTTCATTTGCTGATAAGCATTTGAAATTTATGCTCAATTAAGGATAATCTTTATACTCATACGTTGTGTGTTTTTGTCACCGGTCAGGCGGTATTTGTAGGTATTTCAGAGTTTAAATAAGGCGAATTGAGAGAACAGTAATAACATGTTTGTTTACAAATTTTGTTTGCCGATCGGTGACTGCTTTGTTAGCGTAGGTACGACCTCGTAAAAATACACGTTGGTAAATGTTTGTTTCAAAGCAGGACAGGGCTGTAAATCTTATTCTTATTGGCTGCAACATATAACTGAGGAGTAGCAAAGAATAAACTTGGGGTGCTTACCATTTGACAGAAAAATCCGGTTGGGGTGTCGAAAGCATAATGGTAAGCGATTTACCAGTTTACCGTAGAAATGCCACATCCGTTACGGTTTGAATCCAAAAAAAGGGCGAATTTGTGTAGCGTGAGTCTGGAACCGAGAAATTGGTTAATGGTAAGCAACATTCCGTTTGGTTCGTACCAACCGGAATGAAAGGACTACCTCAAAAGGTACTCCTCAATTTTCGGTTGGAATTTCCGAAAAGTGACCTTACCATTTGCCTTCCATCCGGAATTTCCGAAATTTTCTGTCAAATGGTAAGCACCCTTGAATTATGGGGATAAATCAAATCAAACCAAATGCCCGGAAATACTCTCGCGTCGCGAACAATTAATTTGAATTTTGTAAATTTACTTGCGTGCATCTAACTCGCTTCCGATTGGTTGAAAAACAATCAGCTACTGTCAGAACTCACACATGCGCATTACCGTGAACCAGTCCCTTTAAAAATGGCGAACGGAGTTGGCTATCAATGCAAAAACGGGCTAAATGTAACAAGTCTTTATGATTCATGGCTTATGGTCGCCAGCTTGACTACAATGTAAGCCAAACAGGATGTCATGTGAAAGCAATACACAGATTTTCTAGTACCAGGTAACTTTATAATCAAGAAATATGGACTGCCATCAGTATGTGGAGTATTTGAAGGATTCTGGCTACATCCCAGACTTTCATTGTCAGCTAGAATTCTCATTAAGTTTCATCAGATTATAAGATGATAATTATTCTGCTGCTTTTCATTATCATAAACAGCTTGCATACATTATACATTTGGAAAGTAATGTAGCTTAATTTTAAAATTTTCCACAACATCAAACTTTACTGTAAATCATTAGCTAGCTAGCTTAAAAGAAAATATATATATATATATATTCTGTTATTACAGTTTTGTATTGTTTTGTCTCGCTTAGAAGTATAAGTAAATTTATTGTTTCATTTTTTACTTAATGTCACTTAATTTGTGGCGCAAAATAATAGCAATCAGTGTGGGTTTCTCTAGGCCCTGTGACATACCTCTGGAATTTCTGCCATGCTTTGCATTGTAGCCTTTTTGTTAGGTAACAAGTTTGTGCATGTTCAGGTTGTTTTCCTGGTAGTTCCATTGGCTGTCTATTAAGTACTAAGCAAGCCCTCATCAAATCTTAGTGGTGAAACACCCTTACCACAGAGGCTATTGGAAATTCCAGAAGGATGGGACTTACAAATCCCTATTGTTTATAATTTTTGAAATCCCTCTTTTTTGGTGTCTTCTCTTTGTGGATTAATTGTGAAATTATCCTGAGAGTGGGATGATGTATTGGGCACGATCCATTCAACCAAAATTTACGGAAATTTGGGTACAAAACTCAATGGATCGGTTCGGTCCAACTGGAAAAGTTTCGAAAAAACTGGTCCACCTTTCAGGTGGACCACTTCCAGTCAGACCAGTCTGAAGTCTGGTTAAATGGATCACGCCCATTGAAATTGGTATCCACTTGGCAGTGGCGAGAGTAGGCGAGTTTAGGCGAGTTAAGGCGAGATAAGGAAATTTGCACATAATCGCAAGCGGCGAGTTAGGGCGAGTTAAAGCGAGTTAAGGCGAGTTTAGGTCCCAGAGTAGGCCTCTTTTCCAGGCAACGCTTAACGAGGCATGCTCGCTCCTTTCCATTTCTCCTTGCCATGTTTCGTTACACACGCTCTTAAATATGACACTGCAAACACTAATCTGAAAAAGGGCGTATTTATAAAGACTAGGATGGATGTAGAGACACTGAGTTCTTTGATCTTGCTCGGCTTCTTGCCTTCACACAGACTACAGAACTCCTTACCAGGGATCTCTCTGGCTGTTAATTGCAGCTTTGGAACGTTTTCCTCTTTCCATTTTCCAGACTGATTGAGATGGAGCAAACAGCCTTTTGCTTAGAAGCGTTACTGTAGAAACGTTTCCATACTAGCACAGGTCCCTCACGGCAAGAGATTGAAAGGAGAGGAAAGGGAGAGACCTCTGCCGACCTCCGACGCTTTAAGGCCCGATACACACGGGGGGTTTTGCTCCCGGAGCATGCTCCAGGCTCATTTTGCACGGCCAGTACACACGAGGGTTCATACTGCGGGAGCTTGCTCCATGTTATGGTACACATGAGGGAGCAAACGAGAGAAACTTGGTGTGGGATAGCTGATATTCACCAGATGAGAGTTCGGGAACTAAACATGGCGACGTCCTTGTGGTCCAGATCAAAACAGAAAAAGTTGATTCTTTTGATGATGATGATGCTTGAAAATGACGCATCAGTTAGTAAAAAAGTTGCCAGGAAAACATGGGCTCGCCTGTGACTTCTGAGAAGACATGAGAAAGGGGCTTTTTATACTCTTTTTCGAGAACTGTCCGCGGAAGATTCAGTCGGATTTTTTGAATACATGAGAACTCCATACGCAAAATTCGAGCTCATCAACTTCTACACTTTCAGTCGACGCCGTGTTGAATTTTGAGCACGAGTCAAGGGCTCCAAAGGAATTGTGGATGAAAATATTGGCTAATTTGATTGGTTAATGTTTTAATTTGCCGTATTAATCCAAGCGCGACAAAAAGCGTAAGTACACACGAAGGAGCGTTTTCAAGTTCGCTCAATTTGCCCCGAGAGCTTGCTCCCAGATATTTAACCGGTTAAATATTGTGGAGCATTTTGCGGGATGGAAATTCTGCGGCGTGAAGCATACCCATGAAATTGTTGGTGCACACCGAGAAGCTTTGCTCCCGGAGCGTGCCCCTGGAACAAACTCCAGGATGAAAACCCCTCGTGTGTATCGGCCTTTATTTCACCTAGCCGCCGGCCACAAAACCGGTTTCGTTTAATGTGGAATGCGCGTACCATGTTGAGATTGCAGGCTGGAAATTATTTCGGCCTACAATTGTTATCGCGCAGAAACCGGTTCTGTAAGTTATGTGGCACGTGACAAAAACGTTACTGGTTGTTGAGGAAAGGCATGCATGATAGAAAACGCATCGGAGACCAGCAGATGTGTTTCTCTTTCCTATCATTATTCTCTTGTCGTGTGAGACCTCTGCTAACAGGGAATAGAAACTTGCGATTAATAATATCATATTTTTTCAGCTTATTGAACGAACAGCGGTTGACCATCCTCACCACACTTTATTCATCCTATTTGCACTCGCAAATGCTGAGAAAGATAACAAGTATCTAACTGGTGGCAAGAAGAACGCAACTGCCTCGAGGCTTACAAGAAATAACTCTAAGGAGGCGAGCAGCGGATTCAGAGAGGTATTTTGGTCAACAAGTATCACTATTTCTGTTAGGCTTTTTTATATTTGGTGACCATTTCATTAATTCTCATGACCTGTCTGTTTGATCAGGCATTGTTATTGTTGGGCGAAATTGGATGTGGGTAACTATCGGGGCTTAAAGGGTTAAGCGACCGCGACGGCAACGGCAGTGGAAACTTCACTTTAAAAACGAATTCACACTGATTCAAACTTCATAACTCTTATTCCATTTCATTCAATTTGTCAAATGTTGGGGAATTTTTTTCTGGACGTTGATCTGAAGGAAATATGAAGGACTGTATGTAAAAATTGTTGTATTTTTTTTTTTACGTCCTCCATAAAACGAGAAACTAGGAGGTTACACATTGTAGTTGTTCAACAACGGCAAAGTAAATTACTATTTTACATTTTTTTTTCCTTTCATTTTTAGGCTCGCATTAAAACAGCTTGTGAGTTAATTGATAGGATTGGAAAACAGCGCGGAGAAATTGTACATAACATGAGATGTTTGTGTGAAGCGTACATTTTCCCTTTCCTATGTCAATGTCCAACATCTAAAGAACGAAAGAGGTGCGTTATCGTTACAAACATAGTGTAAACTTTTTCAAACGAAAGCTTTCTCATTTTCCGCTTCTCCCGCCTCTTAAACAACTTTTCTCGCACATTTTAGGTCCGTTTAACTTGCAGGATGTCACTATCAAGAGTATTTCAAACCTAAAGGAAGTGCCTGTGCCAACTTTAGAAGTGCAGGTAAATGGCCCATGTCTATCATCTTTATCTTTTAAGTGTTGGGTTAGGATTCCCATCCGGAGCTGGATATTTTTTCCCTTCTCCTAACGCTCGTGTCCTCGTTACATTTCTCTTTATCACGTTGAATACATTATCTTCCTAACGGTCTAACTTGTTTCTTCATCAGGTCGACCCATTATGTCGATACGATGACCTTGTTCATGTGGTCAGATTTGACTCCAAGTTCTGCCTCGCTGGAGGAGTGAATCTTCCCAAGATCATCTTTTGCATTGGATCTGACGGAGTCAAACGACGGCAGCTGGTCAAGGTGCGTTTGTTGCTCACAAAATAGTGTGTTTTGGTAATCACTCTGGGTCATCACAACATTAGAAGGTAACAGTTCAAAAACCACCCAGTTTTTCGAAAATGTAAACAGGCGGCGCCTTGCCCGTAAAAAAGTGAGGATTTGCTTTCTGTGTTTAAATAAATACCACCACGTAATGGGACGTGACTTCAAGTGGGAGGAAGTTGTAAATAGTGGGTAAAAAGCCACTTTAGATTCAAAAGTTCTTTTGGACGTCCGATACTTTTATTGGTTTACGCCCAGTTCAGACGCCAAACTTTTCGTGAGCCGTTCTTTTCGCCTAACCCGGCCGGGAACTTCTCCTTTGGAGTGGCTTTCATTCATACGCCGAACGTTTTATGTACCGAACCTAATGCATAAATTATTATAACGTTTTTTGTAAGCAGTTTGACCGAAATGAGCATTTTTCTCCTTTTGAATTTAGTTCGACTGGGATTAAGATCGGCGTCTGAATCAATTCAGCCGGTCTAAATAATTTGGGTCGGCCTTAATTCGAATTAGGTTCGGCTCATGAAAAGTTCGGCGTCTGAGCCGGGCCTTATTAATGTAGATGAATGTTTCGTTTACTCACTGAAGGTTAAGGTACGCAAGAACTCTTTTGGGCAACGTAACAAATCTAGAACACTGGAGCATTTTTGACCCGGTGGGTGTTTTTGTTATCTGTTTAGGGAAGAGACGATTTGCGCCAAGACGCTGTTATGGAGCAGGTGTTTGGAATGGTAAACCAGCTGCTCATTAAAAACTCTGAAACAAGAAAAAGGAAACTAAAGATGAGAACGTACAAGGTATTATCGTTGTAAAAAAAAATCCTACACTGTTGATCGTGTTGTCTTGTTTTGATAAAGTTTTTCATTTTCAGAGGAAGAGAAATTTTAGTGTAAAGAATAGACAAAATCATGATCCGTTTCCTGTGTTCCTCAAGTATATGATGAGGTGCGTTTATTTTAATGGAAGAAGTTGTGATCACTTTTTCACAAGTTTTGTTAACCGTTAATAATATGCGAAAGCATCAGGTTGACAGTATACCTGTCATGTTTGTTCGGATAAAATCCGTACGTTATTCGAGAACTATTAAGGAACGAAAACAAACTCTGTCGTGCGACAAATGCTAAACAATGCTTTCATGTCGTTGTTTCCTTGACGCTTAATTTCTCGCTAACTTGCTTAAAATTAGGTTTGGCGTGCTCATTGTATTTTTGAAAAGTTCAGAACACTTTTGAAATTTCTATTCAAGGTCCGTGAAATTTATTTGAATGTTTTTTTTCTCTACCTTTTGCCAGAAAATTTATAGACGTATTCATGCCACTGGATAAATTAGAATGTGGTATAAAGTCAATGATGGAGGAACAGATCACATTCTGGATCATACCCTAGAAAACTCTAAGTATTTCATTCTCTCTTAGCGGAACCTAAGTACCCAAGTCACAAGTACTGCTTTATCTCACTTCCGCCTCTCCTCTCTTTGTCTTGTATTGCACCAGGTCATACCTTTATCACAGCGCAGTGGAATAGTTGAGTGGTGTGAGGATACTATGCCCTTGGGCGAGTATCTTATCGGACGGCCTGGTACCAAGACAGGCGCTCATTCGCGTTACTATCCAGGAGACTGGACATCACTTGACTGCCGAAAGAAGGTCAAGGTAATGTGGACAAACGTTGGATTTTAGTTTTGCTGCTTGCTTAAAAGGGTTGCACAGTGAGCAATATTATACGGCAAGTTTGCTATTTTGAGTGGCATATCCAATCGCCTGTAGACGCAAATAACCCTTCGCCTTAACGTTTGTTCATAATTTTTATAGGCCATTCCCTTCTTTTTCTCCTTTTAGCATCATCCGACCAACCCGATAATATAGAGTGTTTTTCACATGACGTCACGGCGGCCATATTGGTGTCCCAAAACAATGAAACGGTGGCCATGTTGGTGTCCCAAACCAATCCTCTGGGAGTTGCACTATTTTCTTATGCAAACACTTTCTATTCTTCCAATAAATTTGCATAGATGCTGGCCACGTGAGTGAAAAACACTCTATAGCAACGTAGTGAAACCTTTTCTTTCATTTTTGAAAAATAAGCATTGTAACAGCCTTTGGTGGCATAAACTTTTCGGCGGTGCATCCCTTTTTCCATGTCGTTTTACGTTTACTATGGCATCGACCATCACCCTCATTTTCCACTGTAATGATTTTGGTGATCATGTCTTGTTGGTTCCAGGCTCCACAGCAGTGATGCTGGGCTAATAGTCCTCCTGTTTCCATAATTCTTGTTTTATTTTTTCATTTTTATTCGACCGACCGACCGACCGGAAATCACGAAACGCATTCGAAGCTAAAAGGAAAAAGAAGGATGGCCATAGTGATAAATAGTTGAAAACTTATCGCCTCTGAAAATACATATTCCGGCTATCATGGGTAATTTATTGTAACATGAAAGTGCTTTTTATCACCAGGTGGGTGACGATGCTGGAAGGCCAAGATATGAAGTCTACCAAGTATGTTACCATGTTTGTTCTTTGAAGCGCCTTCTTGAGAGTATTTATGTTGTGAGATGTTCACTGCGTTATCTTCTGTTTATGAGGTTCTGTTATCGAGATGGACTATTCGTGATAATATAAACAGCGAGATAAGAAACATTTAGGATTTAGAGAAAGGTGTCACTTTGTGATTTGTTCATCAACCAATGAGACTGGCATAGAGAAAGAAAAAAGTCAATCGTCTGTCTAGCGTTCGTTTGTATTGTTCTGTCAGCCTTTTTTCTCTCAGTTGTTGACAAAACTGGCCCTTCCAGATAGTCAGTCCTACAAACACTTTCCCCTCTTCTCGGAGTTATTATTTAATACTCGGGTATGTTAGAAGAAAGTAGTAATTGGCATTACGTATACAAGTAGATCCTAAGACCTGGTCCTGCCGCTGTTTCTAATATTGTTAAAACATTTATTTCATCGTTGCTTTAGCTTGTTCACCATTTCTCCAAAAATCTGGAAATTGTGGTTGGATCGGCAATAGCAAGACTGATTTGATCTCCGGAACAAAAGAACGACCTGCGGTTCCAGTGCGTTCTACTTATGGTCATAGGAATAGAACAGTTACAGTCCAGTTCATTTGAAGTTTAAACGTTTGCTGCAATTTTGACGAGCTCCTCCTCATTTTCAGCGTGTTAACGCGCACCCTCTTTTCGGTAACCATCTCGCAAAAGAAAACACCGCGACAAAGGTCTTTTACCCGTTCCTTAGGCCTCGTAGGTGTTTTTTTCTTGGGGGAAAATGGCCCTAAAGATGTACTGTAACTCGTTGTTTGTTAATCTGATATTCGCACTCTTTGTTTTTTCTTGCACAGGAGCTAATGGAACATTTCCACCCAGTATTCCGTCACTTCTTTCTGGAGAGGTTTCCGGATCCTGCAGTGTGGTTCGAGAGAAGGCTAACTTACACCAGAGGAGTTGCCACCTCATCCATAGGTACTGTTGTCATCTGACTACAATTGTGGTCAAACCTCTTTGGGCACTAACGCAGTAGCTCGTCAAAATGACACATTTTCTCTACCCAGTGTGAATGCATTAAAGTCAATGCATTCAGTCAGCGTTGCTTGGGAGAGACGGGGGCAGCAGAGAGAGTTTCTTTCCAAGCGTTTTTTTTGGAGGGGTAGAACACGAGTTAATTTAGCAAGGCGAGTCTTCTCGCCAAATTCCCCCAAGTCTCCCAAGATGTTTTGTCCAGAGCTTTACATCTCGCCAGCTGCTATCTTTTTAAAAAGCTAAAATGTGTCTTCGCAGTAATTAAATTCCAGAAATAATGTCCCAGAAGTGTTATTTAACACTATATTTAGGAACTAAAACTGTTATATGCTGTCATGAGAAGAATAGATACGGAATGAAAAATAAGCCAACTGGGTAAAGGCACTAAGCAAGTGTAAGTTAAACACAGAATAGACCTAAAACTTCAATATCATAGTAACGAAGCGCATCAACCCTTAGCCACAAACGTAAACAAATTGTTGAACCAAGTAAACGTAACTGGCTCTCATCGCGAGAAAATACCCAAATCAGGATTGATTTAAGTCTCACTACTTATCCTTTTTCCCCTGTCACATCTAGTTGGTTACGTTGTTGGTTTGGGAGACCGTCATGTGCAGAATATTCTTGTGGACTGTAATACAGCCGAACTAGTCCACATTGACTTGGGTAAGAGCGGGAATTTTTATTCTATGTCGACCAGAAAGAGTTTCGTGCAACTCTTGTGATTGCTTCCCCTCGAACTGGATTGTGAAACGACTCATCAATTAGAAATCAGTAATGACTCCGATTCTTTGATTTAAGACAGGATTTTTGCTGTAGTTTCAAATTATTTGCCCAACATGTTCAGTGATTTTGTTACCCTTTGTTGCCTGTGTCCCTGACGCATTAAAATCCCCAAAGACGCAAAATAATTCATGACGTGCGTCCCGTAGGACGCATTTAACCGCCGCCTGGTAAGCTCAGTTGGGAGAGCGCCGGTCTGCCGAACGGGAGGTCGCGGGTTCAAACCCCGGCCGGACCAACACTCAGGGTTTAAAATAACTGAGAAGAAAGTGCTGCCTTTGTAATGACATCTGCAAATGGTTAGACTTTCTAGTCTTCTCGGATAAGGACGAAAACCCGTAGGTCCCGTCTCACAGCACTTGAACTGATTTGTTCTTGTGGGACGTAAAAGAACCTACACCACTACCGTATTTATTCGAAAAAGCGCCCAACCTCGAATTAGCGCCCACCTCGAATAAGCGCCCAGAAAAATTTAATAAGCGCCCACCCCTACCCCGCCTCCTTCCCCCTCAAACTCAAACTCAAATAAGGGCCCACCCCACCCCACCCCCTTTCTGGTCCCTCCCATCCAAAAAACATTAAATAAGTACTAATAAGAGACTTGCCCAAAGACGGAGTTTTCTTCAGAGTTTTTTACGGAAACCTTGCTATGTTACATCTTTGCGTTTTGTTATTACCATTTATCATATTGTTGCAAAATAAACATACTACAATTCCTGAAAATGGTGAAAATTTAATCAGCGCCCGACTCGAATAAACGCCCACTCTCAAGGTCCAAAAATTTAATAAGCGCCCAGGGCGGTTAATCGAATGAATACGGTATTCGAAAAGAGTAGGGGGCGTTGACCCCGGTGGTCTGGCCAACCTTTACGGGCTGTGGGATTGGGTAGGGATGGCACTTCGCATGGGACCTGAGTCCCGTTCGTGCACCTTCCTCCTGGGCAACCCTGTGTCCAGAAAAGTTGGTAAACCTAAAAAGATCGATTGATCGATCTGAACATGTTTATTTGTAGCAATATCAAATTCGTGTAATTTGTGTGGCAGTTATTATACAGCTGTTGTTTAACGATGCGTATTTCTTTCAGCCTTTATTGTGCTTTAAAAAAGAAGGACTACCGTAAAATTCCGAAAATAAGCCCCTCCAAATATAATCCCCCCAATCTCGTAAGGCAAAAAACCCCTCCGTTAAATAGCCCCTCCAAATATAAGCCCCCTGGTGCTTGTACTTGGAAATTGCCCTCAAATATAAAGTAAAACAAAGCCAAAATGGCAAATTTCCTTCCAACTATAAGGGTAGCCCAATCGATTTTGAAACGCAAATTTCCCTCCATGGATAAGCCCCTTTGAATATAAGCCCCTCAAAAAGGGCCTTTGAAAAATATAAGCCCCGGGGCTTATTTTCGGAATTTTACGGTGTATTTTCAGTTCATTCTACTGTCAGTAATACAGCGTTTTGGAGTTTGTCTTCAGATTAACTGTCTGGTTACATATGCAGCCTCAAGCATTTTCAATTCGGACTCACCTTTTTTTATGTGGGAATCAATTGTTAGGGACTGGGGACTCATGATTTCTCACTGAGTCCCAGGACTCACCGTAACTGTCTCTAACAAAATCACTGCATGTTTAGTAGTTTCTTCTGTTTATGATCAATAAGCAATAACTGCAGACGTCCGCGTGAGACTGTTAACATCCGCATTTACTTGGTTTGATTTGCAATCAGATGTTTCTTCTGTCTGACACGCGCAAAACTAATCGTGTTTGCCTGTCAATAATCATAGGGGTGGCGTTTGAGCAAGGTAAATTTCTCCCCACCCCTGAGACGGTACCATTTCGTTTGACACGTGACTTGGTGGACGGCATGGGACTGACAGGAGTGGAAGGAGTGTTCAGACGATGCTGCGAGAAAACAATGCAGGTCGTGAGAACATCACAGGAATCACTCATGACTATTGTGGAGGTACGCGCTTTTTTATTTTTGTTTTCTTTTTTATAGTGTCGTACAACCAAATTCAAAGTATTTATCATCCCCGTTACAATAGAAACAGACGAGTCAATGAACCATATGAAGAAAAAAAAATCGATCGACTTGATTTGGAGGGTAAGGGGTTAGTCAAACTGTCTGCAATAATACGTTACGGCTCAGTGATTTAAAGTCACAGGCGAGTTTGAGCTTATTCCTTCGACACCATGAATTAAGCAATGAATACTTTTTTCAGTTTCTATTCAACCAATTGAAAGCCATGACAGACACCCAAAAAGAGCATTTGGCCTTAATGAGATTCCCCCGCATTTTTTTCATGAGATAAAGACAAAAGGCTATTTCAGTATGACGTCATCAGCGTTAATGTAAGATAATGATATTTTATTCAGCTGATAAAAACAAATGGCTACGACGTCATTGGCGTAACAGTGCCACTACTTAGACAAAGTTGAATAATCGTACTACAAGAAATTAAGAATACATCCCAAGAAAGTTGGTTGTCGGCCAATCAGCAGCTCGTTAAAAAAAATAATTAGTTACTCGAAACACAACATTTAATATTGATAGCAAACGTTTCTAGGGAAAGCAAAATGTTTCACCAGACAGCGTTTTTCTATTCGATACTTTGTATACAATACCCAGGAGACATTTCGTTGACACAAGCTATTCCTTTGTCATCTACCAGCAATTTCTTCGCTCCCATTGCCGCGCTTTGCAGTAACATGAGACCGCCAGTCAAAAATATAACTACCGTTTACGTTTTTCGCCTCAGTCACTCACTATAGCGGACCTCTCTGGAAACACGTGCTTTCTTCAGCGGGTCCAAAAGGTCAGGTCTGTAGGTTTTAATTGGTCGTGATGATTAACAACTAACTTTCTCGAGATGTATTATTTTCCTGTAATCCGATTGGTCAACTCTGTCCAGCTGGCCCCGGTAATAGTAGTCGCACTGTAATGTATTTCTGCGCACGTTAATGAGATTCCTGTACAAAAAAAGGATCATTCGGTGCCTACAATACTACTAACGCAAATGCTTTGTATCACTTGCGTCAGTTTGAGTGTTCGTTGTTTGTGGCGAATCTCCTCTTGCTATATCAATGCTTTATTAATAAGAGTAGTCACGAAAATTAAAGATAAATCGATACCGTAACAACTTCTTCCCTTTATATCTATAGGACATGTACAGGAGCAACAAATGAGAATTCAATTTTTTAAAAAAATAAGCGTACATCGTGGTTTAGCGACCTAAGGACGAGCCGTTTATCTGACGCAGTTTTCTCCCAAAATTAACGACAGTCCCCAATATCAAATTCAAAAGAAGGCTAACTTTTATTTTTTGTTTTCAGGTTTTGCTCTATGATCCTTTGTCATCGTGGACACTGAGTCCAGAGAGAAGGAAAGCCCTTCAGAAAGCAGAAGATCTGTACGATGTTCCTCCTTCTAGCGCTGTTGGAGATTGTCTTGACGGTTCCGTCATGGCATCAGATAATGTGGCACCTGAAGATAACGTCAACAAAATGGCGAAGAGGGTGCTTTTAAGACTGAAACAGAAATTGGATGGAATTGAAGATGGGGTTCACTTAAGCGTATCAGGACAGGTTAATCATCTTATAAGAGAAGCTATGGATCCAAAGAATCTGTGTCGATTATTTCCTGGATGGCAGCCTTGGGTGTGAATTGTGCTGTTAGACTCAATAACTAACAGTCTTTTTGACGGTTAGAAGCGTTCCCATTTGTGATCAAAGGAGCAGGAGGAGGAGAAAGCCATCCGGCACTTGATAATCGCCACGTTCAACCAAGGCTGTGGATACCCGAAACCAACGAACAGTTGGTCACCCGATAAGCGCATTTACGGTTTTACCATTATCTTCTCTTGAAAATGGAGCCGTCTAGGAGCCTTACCCTGAAAGAACATCTTTATCTTCATCTTCATCTCATCTCTTCAAAGACTGTTCCTCTTTCGTCTGAACAAACACCAAGTCGTGGCTTAGGTCACAAAATGCTTTGTAGACTCTTTTTTCTTCGTGTGATTGTAACTTTTTTGCCGTCTCTTTAAGTTTGCCTTTGTCTCGTTCCGGTTTGATTAGCTCCATGGCTATTTGCGTGACCAAGCCATGTTGTTATTAGAAATCTTAACAAGTATAAATGTTGTTGTTTCCCAAAGCCTCGACATAGTTTTTATATTGAATGTGCTGACTGGAACGGATTACATAGAAGGTCTAGAGTATAGATGTAGGCATGGTTGGTACAATCTTGAAAAGGTCTTGAATTTTACTAGTTCTATTGAAAGTCTTTGAATTCTGTTTAGGTCCTTGAAAAGTACTTGATTTCTTTATTAGGTCTTGAAAAGTCCTTGAAATTCACAGCCTTGTCCACGCCAGGCACCTTTTTATGTTAAATTAGACTATTTTGTGATCATCGATGGCCGCAGCAGTATAGATCGTAAGTGATTCCATGACTTCCAAGTTGTTTTAGCCAATAGGGTGATCAAAGGGGGAAGAGAATGTTGATTTATTGAGTAAATCTTAGTCCTTGAAAACTGTAATTTTTCCTTAAAAAATCCTTGAAAAGTCCTCACAAATTGTTTGTCTGAAGTTGCACGAACCATGTAGTAGTGAAGACTTGAACCGGTTTAGACTTTTGACGGGATCTCTTAATATTTTTTTCCTGGGGTAATCACAAAAACGTTTTTCTTGATTCTGAGGAGGCCATTGCTTGGCATAAAATTGTTGTGATTCAAACGGAGCATCAGCAGCTAAATCGTCTAATGACGATGTTTTGCAAATATAAGGCCCTGAAGATGATAGTTTCTTTAACCCTTCTTACAACGTACCAATGTTATAACCTAACCTCTTTAGTAGGAAAGGAAACGATTTAATTTCCTTACTTTTAAAGTACTTTGCGGCGCTATTTCTTGTTTTTTCTTGTTCTTTTTTATTGACTAGAGTACTAAAGTGTGACGTCATAAAAATGAAATTTCTGAAATTATGGGATTTGTCAGGATATTCTGAAAGAACAATGTCCAAGAGGCCTACTCGCCAAAAATGAGCATTTCGGGGCAAATTGTCTCTGAGATTGTAGCCCAGTTATGGTTAAAAAACTCCATACAAACCCTTCTAATTTGTAAGGGGGGGTCGATCCCCCAAAAAATAAATTTAAATTTAAATTACCGTGTTTTAAATTTATAAAATCAGTTATTAAAGAATCGTGTTTAACATTAAGAAGTCTCCCGTCAACGTGAAGTTATTCATGAAGAACGAATAAAAAACTGTAAGGGGCTTGGGACATTAAAATGTAAAGGGAATATGGCTCATAACCATTTGCAGATTAGCTATATATAATTCCCGCTCTTGTCGTCACACTTTTTAAGCAAGGGTGATAAAATCTTCAGTTTGTCTATCTTGAAAAATCATATTAATAATTCATAAAGAAAAGAGAAAACACTCCAGCTGGTTTATTAAACTATTCTAAATATAATTATAAAAGTAAACTATAATTATCATAAAAAAATCTCCCAGAATCCTTTGAGGCAATTTTTTATAAAGCTTTATAACTTTCACAATTTTATACGTGGAAGACTGTCAGACCACAACAAGATAACAATTGCATAAAATATCTTCCCATGTCACATCTAAGGCAATGACGTGATCAGTCATGTGAGTATTTCCAAATTAGGTTTTTTTTGTTGCTGTGACAAGATTTCATTAACGAGTTAAAAACAAATAGCACATTTGAGGTTTTAGTTGTGTGGGGCATTTAAAATTTAAGGGGGAAATGAACATGAGCGAAAAAGTCGGGAGACTAGGTCGAGGGCTGTAGAGAGTCGAAAAGTTCTACCTGCTAATAGACCTATTCGGCTAATTCAATGTTGTACCCAATTCAAATCTCCCGGGGATAAGATTCATTGTGTATTTTATTTGCATTATAATGTGGCATTCACATTTAAATGATATGGAAATTCCTTAAACAAAACGTTTTATTCCCAAAGGGTTTGAATTGGGTACAACATTGAGTTAGCCGAATACGTATATTTTTTTCATGATCAAAAGACGGACATAACGTCATCAGTCACGTGATCAAAGCGTTTTGAATGTTTTAGTTCGTTTTAAAAGTACCTGTTTTGTCATAAATTGGCAAGTTTTTGCTGTTTTTCTCAACAATGCTTTACAATTTATTGTCTCTGAGTAATTATTATTCCATGTTCAAAGCGGAACCAAACGAAAACTGAGCCAGAACTTTAACGTTGCGTAAATTGACCGATATTGCAAGTTAAAATAAAAAAGGAACCTACTCTTGAGACTTTTGTAAAATCCTTTTTCAACTTAACTTTTTGTTTGCCGAAATAAATGTTCGTCGTTTGTTAATAAAGAAGAACTTTAAAAACTAAAAGGATGTATTTGGCGGCCATATTGTTTTTCTTCATTCCGGGGAGCGAGGTCATGTAGGAGCTCTTCTAACCCTGAAAGCCAAATGATTGGCTACTCTAACCTAAAACAATGGAAATAATGATGACCAATGTTGTGTTAGTGTTTTCCCCGACCAATGAAAAGACACCTTACTAGCAGGGAGAGAATCGTACGGTCATACGGTTCAGTCGGTAGGTAGCCGCGCGATCGAAAGCTCCTATTTATATTTCTTAAACGATCCTCGGCAAGGACCAAGCCTGAAAGAGTATTAATAGATTTATTGCGAGCTTTACGTCTCGCTTCGATCAGTTAAAGATTTAATCCTACACAGAAATTTTTTAAAACAAGTCATACTTGAAAACTGCCAATCACCATAGAGAAGGATAGAGGCGTTAACTTTTAGTTCTAACTAATTCTGAGGGTCCGGGTTCGAATCCCCTGGAAACAAATTTTTCGAAACCTTTTTTTATTTTTTTTAAACCTTTTTTGTACACTCTTTTTTACCTGTGTGGTGTATAAAGCTAGTAACATAATGTGGTAAATTAAAAGCAAAGTTTACAGGAATGTAAAAAATGCCGTATATGTATCATACAGCTGATCATAGCGTATCTACCAGTGTTTTTAGTAATACTCGACACTGTTATCATTACCCAGCTCAATCGTCGATTTTCACATGTGCGTAATTTAATTCGAGAGACGGGACGTCTGAATCAACTAAATTCGACAGTTTCAAATTAAATACGACTTAGTCGAATCTGCGACTGAAACAGTCGAAAATCCGACTGAGGTTTAACATTTGATTTAGAAGTCGCATTTCACATGTGCCGAATATAAAGTATTAATTATAGAAACCCTCGTTTTTCCTGAGGCTGGAAATATTTACAACAAACGGAGTTAAATTCGGCACCATCATATCCGATGTCTGAATCAACTGCCGTATTTAATTACTTTCATCGACTAAAATAGGCGTTCGGCACTCATGAGAAATTCCACGTTTGAAAGGGGTCTAACATGACATAAGTTTCAGCTTAGTGGTTTGCAGGCTGTTATTAAGTATTTTTTTTCTCTTCAGTAAAAGAGCAATTCGTATCTCTCTTTGTATTCCATTCTATTTAATAATCATCTTGTGCCGCGACTTAAGAATCAGCTGTAATAGTTGATTTTACTTTCTCTTTGTCATGATTTGTATGTCACTAGACATGATTTGTATATCAAAAAAGAGCGATCAATTTTTATCCATCCATTTCAATAAAAGCGAATGGAATCACTTCTCACTATAGCGGACAACCTTGACTTCGTCGTATAAATATGCGGCACCGAAGAAAGACGAAAAAGCTTAACCGTTTTTGATCAGATTATTTTAAGATTTAAACTCGAAGCTTTATATAGTGTAAACTAATTATAATTTACTTTTACCGGTATCACTTGTTATTAGTAATAACACTGTGTGTGTTTCTACGACACAGTTTGCCTACTCTTAGACCCAAACTGGTCACTTACTCGAAGTAGTCTCGAATGAACTCTTCGTGCTTATTGAATCGTTTCTGAACTTCATCTCTAAATTCTTCCTGTTCATCATTGTGTCGCTGGGACTTTCCTGTAGTCTGTAGAAAAGCGTCAAAAACTGCTTTAAATTTTTCATCGGTCATCCTTTCTATCTGGTCTATTTTATCTATTAACCTACGTTTCGGGGAGTCCTGTTTGCACAGGTATTCTATTTTATCAACAACGTCCTTCTCCATGGTCTCCCTCTGCTGTTCATTTGGCATTTCACTCAGCCTTTCTTCGTCTGTCACCTCCTGGATATCTATTTTGGACAATTGTTCTATCTCTGAAGGCAAAACATGACTTTCAAGCCGCTGTAAAAGTCAAGAGAAAAAAAAAACAAAAAGTGAATAAGAAAAAAAGCAAAAAAATAGAAGGAAGCATTTATTTTGAAAACACAGTGCGCCGCAATGGCGTTTAACGCTGCTTGTTTTTTTTTTAATGTTTTCCCCAAAACAACACACATTTTTTCCACAACAGATCGTCAATTTTTAGAGAAGCGGCGTGATTCACCTTGAATGGACGCTATTATCTGTGAAGTAGAAGAAGTAGGGCATGTCACTACAACGTAGGGTATATGCTGCATTGGCACCCCGCTCGGCCTTGGAGACCCGTATCGGACAGTTCATTTGGCCCGACCAAAAGGCCATTTATTTTCTCTACATTAACCCGCTTAATACGGACACAGATTGATACGGACAATGGACATTTTCCATAGTCCCGAGTTATACAAGTATACTGCAATATATAGTCAAACTCGCTTTACAAGAAACTGTTTATCTCAGCACCGTCTATGACTGAATATCCTACTAGTAATGTAAACTAAGGCTTGAAAAACCACTACAAAAACCGTAGCTTTTAATGAAGCTCAACGGTGGATCAAACATGATCGTGATCAGTCGAACCAAAGACCTAAAACCTAACAAAAATGGCAAACGACCTTTCAACGGCTTTTTCTAACATTCAGTCCACCAAAAACGTGAATACAAATTTGAGTTTCGGATTCCTCTGTCGTGTTACACCGTAAACTACTATAACTAAAGGGTAGAAATGTTGCCATAGGCAAGAAATAGTGAAGAAATGGAAAATTAAGTGTAAAGGTATTAGTAGAAGGTGATGTGAGGCTAAGAGGGCTTAATCCAAAATCTTTGTTAGTGATGACCTAAATTTAGAAATTATCTTCCTTTTGAGTATCGCGTTAAAGGTGACTAACTTAATTATGAGCCAGTTTTAGTATTTTTCTAACGTGCTCGTGTCGCGTCAGAAGTGGCCAGATAATTCTCGATTTTTGATATGTATATCAATCATTCTCGCTTTCAACCGTGACTGAATGACTGAAACTGATTTTGAAGCTTTGATTTGGCGATACGAGCAAATTTTCTAACTATGGTGTTCAGTCTTTCTGTTCGCAAAAAAATCGAGCGATTTCCACGAAACTTGAAATTCTTGAGTTTAAGAATGTTTATTTCATCTTCCAAGTTTAAGGAAATTTGTTCGACTGTGATCTGGGCTACAAGATAGGTTTGAGAAACGACTATGAAAACACAACATTAACTTGGCCAACCATGTCACGAATCAAACACAAATTTACGGTAAACAATTATGTTCAATTTTTGATAACTCAGAATGACACATAAATTTCGGGCTCGTAGCTCTAATGCTGCTTGTGTGATTCCCTCTTAGAACAGAAGGAAATTTGCTTGGAAAATAGTAAAGGCTGCGGCTATATGGCTGGTAATTATAACCAGTCAAGATTTTCAAAACACTAAATGACCGGCAGTCCGATATTTTTTTCAATAATTTTTTTCAAATCGAAGAATCCCAGCCAGACCAAACTATCATACGTCGAGTAAGAATAGACTGCGAGAGACTTAGTTTATGATCAACAAATGTATTGATGTTGTCAAAGTGTTAGTCTCTTCAAGTTTAAAGGAAAACAAAATCTCACTCGAATATGAGCGAATTCGATCCCAGATCATAGGAACTGCATACCACTATTCTAACTACTAGACCACCGTGGTTTCTCTGCAAGATGGCGATTTTATTCAAATATTATAGCGTAAACCCCAACCCAAAATAGAAGCTAACTGCTAAACCCTAATCACCATTCTCAGAGCTTAACCCTAATCAGTTTGGTTAGTGCTTCAGTTAGTATTTTCAGTGCTTAACCCTAATCACCATAGTCAAAATATCGGACTTATAAAATATTGCATTTTGTGAAAATATTCTTTAACGATATTAAACGGCTGTTTGCTCCATGCAGTGATGCTATTTCTTTGTCCATATGCTACGATATTTTGCTGGTCTTAGCCTGTTCTGTTTTCCGAAAGCCAACCCAAATATATAGAGGTTTCGAACTTTTCTTTCATTCTGCCTTGGCATCGACTATGATAAATTTATCATGAATGCTTTCGATTCTCGGTCGACAAGTGTCGGCCAGCCGCAAAAAAATGCAGCACGTGCAAAGATTTTTTGTTTTCTAATTAGACCTGTTGCTTCTTTGTTTTAACGAGATTGAGAATTATTCAAAGTTGCAGTTGAAACTCAGTGTAAGAAGAAAGCACGTGGTAATCCACTGCGCATTCTAAATCTCCCATTCGAGCATAACCACAATTCCTTGCGAGTCTACTGCGCATCCCAAATCTTCCATTTGCACTGAACCACAATTCCTTGCGAGTCCATTGCGCGTCCCAAATCGGTAAGTCGCGCATAACTTCAATTCCTTGCGTTTGGTAAGAAAAAGTGATTGAATGCCCCTATAATGTATTTTTTTTTGCCGATTAGAGAGCTGCCTCGTTCGCTCCCTTCAGGCTCGCTCACTGCGGCAGCAATTAAAAACAATTCTGTTTTAGCCCCCAAAGAGCTAATTTAGTCATTCAGGCTTAAGTCTGATTCAGCCCTCCTGGCGCCATTTGAGCATCATTTAGACCAAAAAGCCTCCATCCAAAGGGCCCCATCAAAAGCCTTTTCTAGCCCGCGCTGTGACTCTTCTCAACCCATGGGTCCAAATCGGTTTTAGGTCATTGGACTTTATATGCTAAGATTGACGGAGACAAATTAGAGAAGAAATAGTACTGTATTTTATTTTACTTACATCAAATTCTATATCTTCAAAGAAATTTTCTCTGGGATATTCCTGTAAAAGTCGAGAGAAAAAAAATTGAATAATAAAATAGCAAATAAATAGAAGGAAGCATTTATTTTGAAAACACAGTGCCCCGCAATGGCTTTCAACGCTGCTTGTTTTTTATTATGTTTTCCCAAAAACAACACACATTTTTTCCACAACAGATCGTCAATTTTTAGAGAAGCGTTTTGTGATTCACCTTGAATGGACGCTATTATCTGTGCAGTAGAAGAAGTAGGGCATAATGTCACTACAACGTAGAGTATATGCTACATTGGAACCCCGCTAGGCCTTGGAGACCCGTATCGGACAGTTCATTTGGCCCGACCAAAAGGTCATTTAGTTTCTCTACATTAACCCGCTTAAAGCGGACACAACTATACGGACACAGATTGATACGGACAATGGGCATTTTCCGAAGTCCCGAGTTATACATGTATACTGCAATATATAGTCAACCTCGCTTTACAAGACACTGTTTATCTGAGCACCCTCTATGACTGAATATCCTACTAGTAATGTAAACTATTAGGCTTGAAAAACCACTGCAAAAACCGTGAACGATCAATGTAAGCTCAACGTTGGATCAAAAATGATCGTGATCAGTCGAACCAAAAACCGAAAACCTAACAAAAACGGCAAATGGCGTTTTAAAGGCTTTTTCTAACATTCAGTCCACCAAAAACGTGAATACAAATTTGAGTCTCGGATTCCTCTGACGTGTTACACCGTAAACTGGTATACCTAAAGGGTAGAAATGCTGCCGTAGGCAAGGAATAGTGAAGAAATGAAAAATTAAGTGTAAAGTTGTTAGTAGAAGGTGATGTGAGGCTAAGAGGGCTTAATCCAAAATCTTTGTCAGTGATGACCTAAATTTAGAAATTATCTTCCTTTTGAGTATCGCGTTAAAGGTGATTATTATTCATTCAAAATATTTCCCCGATTCTGATTGGCTAAAACCACACGTTTAATTCGCCATAACCAGTTACTGATGACCAAATTTGGAAGAATTTTGACTTTAACGAGGAAATGACGTCAAAAATGCAGCGTTTTCGCAGGTTAAGGCACCGTTAACCGAGAAGACCTGGAGACGAGTTTGTGTTATTTTTGGCAGACAAACATCAGAAATGGCTGCGAGTAGGTTTACAAGTTTGAGCGAAGAAAATATCACCCAGTTACTCAATGATAAAGACAGTGAGAATACCAAAAAGTTGACGAAATACCATCGCTTAATTTTTGAGTCGTACCTCAAGGAGAAAAACATCAGAAATCCTTCAACTGCAGTGGAGTTAGCGGCAGTTTTACGAAAGTTTTACGCCGAGGCGAGAAAGAAAGATGGACAGATGTACTCAAAGAACTCCCTCTGTTCCATCAGATTTGCTTTGTGTAGCCACTTCAAACAAGAACTAAATATGGACATTATAAAGGATACGGAATTTAACTAAGCCAACCGAATTTATGAAGCACAGGGCGTAGAGCTGAAGAAGCAAGGACTAGCGAAAACTGAACCCAAACCTCCAATTGCTGATGAAGACATCAGGAACTTGTATCGATGCGGTGTCTTCAATACTGAAAATCCTACCAGTCTTCAAAACAAGGTTTTCTTTGAAATAATGTTATTTTTCTGTCGGCGTGGTCGGCAAAATCTTCGCCAGCTTAAAAAGACTGACTTCGAAATAAAAGTCAACTCGCAAGGAAAACGCTGTGTTGTGAAAACAACCGATGAACTAACAAAAAATCACAGAGCACACGACGTTCAAGCTGAAGATGGTCCTTTTTGCCCGGTCTCGTCCTTTGAAAAATATTTGAGTGTCTTGAATCCAATGAATGAATACCTTTTTCAGCGACCAAAAAAGTCAGCTGGTGAAGGAGAAATTTGGTATGACAACATGGTTGTCGGCGAGAACACTCTCGGCAAGAAGATGAAAGTCATCTCACACCAAGCGGAGTTGTCAAAAATATACACAAATCATTCAATCAGAGCGACGACCATAACTATACTCGACAGAAGTGGATTTGAAGCGCGACACATCATGTCGGTAAGCGGACACAGAAACGAAAGCAGCATAAAAACTTACAGCAAAACCGAAACAAACACAAAAACAAACATGGCGGGCAGCCTTATAGCTGTAATTGACAACAACAAAAACAATGTCGTGGCTTCTGAAACAGGCGAAAATGATCGAAATGAGGAACTTGGACTGCTAACAAATTCCGAGGAAGAATTCATTTTACGAGATCTGAACGTTCAAACTCACAACCATTCCCACCAAAGCACAAAGCAGTTTAATTTCTACAACTGCACAGTAACATTTCTGTAAAAATCGCATTAAATTATCGTAAACAGGATTGATTTTTTAAACCCCGATGTCTGTTAAATTTCTGACGGAGAGATTTTATTTATACATTTCATCAAAATTTACGGAGTGAAAATAACTTTAGCTCTCAGTATATTGCTGGAGGGTGTGAAATTTGTGAAAATAAAGCTCATTTTCTCCTTTAAGTGTTTGAAAATATTTTGATGAATAATAAAGCAATTAATGAATTCGACTTTCGTAGGATATGAATAATTAAGCGGATCTCGGAAGGGTGTTATCCACCTCGGCCTACGGCCTCGTTGGATAACACCTTCCTCGATCCGCTTAATTCTTCATATCCTACTCAGCCTCATTCATTAATTGCTAACTAACTTAATTATGAGCCAGTTTTAGTATTTTTCTAACGTGCTCGCGTCGCGTCAGAAGTGGCCAGATAATTCTCGATTTTTGATATGTATATCAATCATTCTCGCTTTCAACCGTGACTGAATGACTGAAACTGATTTTGAAGCTTTGATTTGGCGATACGAGCAAATTTTCTAACTATAGTGTTCAGTCTTTCTGTTCGCAAAAAAATCGAGCGATTTCCACGAAACTTAAAATTCTTGAGTTTAAGACTGTTTATTTCATCTTCCAAGTTTAAGGAAATTTGTTCGACTGTGATCTGCGCTACAAGAAACGACCATGAAAACACAACATTAACTTGGCCAACCATGTCACGAATCAAACACCAATTTAAACAGTTATGTTCAATTTTTGATAACTACATGACACAAAAATTTCGGTCTCGTAGCTCTAATACTGCTTGTGTGATTCCCTCTTAAAACAGAAGGAAATTTGCTTAGAAAAGAGTAAAGGCTGCCGCTATATGACCCCTATATGGCCGGTAACCGCTCAAGATTTTCAAAACACTAAATGACCGGCAGTCCGATATTTTTTCAATAATTTTTTTCAAATCGAAGAATCCCAGCCAGACCAAACTATCATACGTCGAGTAAGAGTAGACTGTGAGAGACTTAGTTTATGATCAACAAATATATTAATGTTGTCAAAGTGTTAGTCTCTTCAAGTTTAAAGGAAAAAAAATTTCACTCGAATATGAGCGGATTCGATCCCAGAGCATAGGGTCTGCATACCACTATTCTAACTACTAGACCACCGTGGTTTCTCTGCAAGATGGCGATTTTATTCAAATATTATAGCGTAAACCCCAACCCAAAATAGAAGCTAACTGCTAAACCCTAATCACCATTCTCAGGGCTTAACCCTAATCAGTGTGGTTAGTGCTTCAGTTAGTATTTTCAGTGCTTAACCCTAATCACTCTAGTCAAAATATCGGACTTATAAAATATTGCATTTTGTGAAAATATTCTTTAACGATATTAAACGGCTGTTTGCTCCATGCAGTGATGCTATTTCTTTGTCCATATGCTACGATATTTTGCTGGTCTTAGCCTGTTCTGTTTTCCAAAAACCAACCCAAATATATAGAGGTTTCGAACTTTTCTTTCATTCTGCCTTGGCATCGACTATGATAAATTTATCATGAATGCTTTCGATTCTCGGTCGACAAGTGTCGGCCAGCCGCAAAATTGTGCAGCACGTGCAAATTTTTTTTGTTTTCTAATTAGACCTGTTGTTTCTTTGCTTTAACGAGATTGCAAATTATTTAAATTGCAGTTGAAAATCAGTGTAAGAAGAAAGCACGTGGTAATCCACTGCGCATTCTGAATCTCCCATTCGAGCAGAACCACAATTCCTTGCGAGTCTATTGAGTATCCCAAATCGTCCATTTACACTTAACCACAATTCCTTGCGAGTCCATTGCGCATCCCAAATCTTTGAGTCGCGCATAACTACAATTCCTTGCGTTTGGTAAAAAAAGTGATTGAATGCCCCTATAATGAAATTTTTTGGAGATTAGAGAGCTGCCTCGTTCGCTCCCTTCAGGCTCGCTCACTGCGGCAGCAATTAAAAAAATTCTGTTTTAGCCCCCAGAGAGCTAATTTAGTCCAGCAGGCTTAAGTCTGATTCAGCCCTCCTGGCGCCATTTGAGCATTATTTAGACCAAAAGGCCCCCATCCAAAGGGCCCCATCAAAAGCCTTTTCTAGCCCACGCTGTGACTCTTCTCAGCCCATGGGTCCAAATCGGTTTTAGGTCATTGAACTTTATATGCTAAGATTGACGGAGACAAATTAGGGAAAAAATAGTACTGTATTATATTTTACTTACTGAAACAGCCCCATTTTTAAGGCTAAAACAAATCTTTTTGATTTGCAGTCAGGGGTATACTGTTCTTCTAAAAAAGTAATTTAAGTCCGAGACTATGGTAAAAGATCGTTAGGTTTCTTCAGGATGATTTTGTTACATACGGATACAGTTTAGAAATTAAACGACGTTTCCTCGTAAAAATGTCTACTTTCGCCTTCATACCGATAAAACATGAGAGGCCGCTTAATACGGGCATCCGCAGTTAATACCAGCGGACACCATGGCATGTGTCCTCTTTGAGTCCGTATTAACCGTGTTCAAATACAATACAATAGTTCCTTCCACGGCGGTTTTTTCACATTTTGATAAGGGCCAGTTACAGAAAATCCGTCGACACTACTGAAAAGAGCGCCTTAAAATTAGTAAAACTGTCAAATTTGAAAGTGATACGTCTAATCCAAGAGAGGACAAAGGGGACAGAGAAGGCATCCCCCATACACACCCTATTCCATATAGGTAATTCGTCTCGAGTTGTTTTTAAGACCATAGATCCCAAGGGGGATTAGACAACAGACAATCATATAGCGCGAATGTGTTCCGCGTGGATGACCCACGCTCAGAGCCACGCGTCCTTCACGAATTGACGCAGAAAAAAATGGCGGAAGACGCGGAGAGCGATATTGCTATTTTTATATTTCTGCTAAAGCTATGTCAGCGAAACGGAAATTAAAAAAGAATCGCCCTTCCTTTCTTGTATAGAGCTAACAGTACAGCAGGGAAATCCTTAACACACTGAATATTCTCTTAGGATCATTTATAATTTACAGTTTGAAGAGAGCAATTTCTGGTTTGATATTTATTCTTACTCTTTTATTATTCAACAAAAATAACACTTGGCGTTCTACTTGCTTTATTATAGAAACGTTTAGTCATGCGAAACCTCCGCGAATCATCCACGCAGCGCGCGAGGTAACTTTATCCTCTCTTGGTCTAATCTGAAAAGCAAGCGAAGATATACCTTCGCAGAGTTGCGAAAATTTACAGGCGATTTTATGGTGGGGGCAAGTTTGTGCCCCCCACCATATTATTTCATTTCGCCACTTTGAGGAGCTATTATCTTCGTTAGTTTTCAACAAAACACTTTCAATCTTGACAATTTTACTAATTTTAAGGCGCTTTTCCCAATGGTGTAGATTTTCCCTAACTTATCCACGTCACAAGTTGAAAAAATCGTGGAAAGGTCTATTGGCAGCCCGGGATTGGCAAACTGTGGAAAAAAATCGCTCATTTGTACATAAACGTCTGAGCTACAAGCAGCTTGTTGGCTTAGTTAAGATAATGATAAGCGATTGACCTGCTTAATTCAGAATGAATCCAAAGAGATAACAAAGGATTTTACAAGTTACTTGCCTCATTTCACAGACCGTAAAAACGCTTAGGCTTGCAATTTAACCTAACGTTGAAAAGATTTTGGACTTTGTAGTGGCGGGGGGGGGGGGAGGGGGGGTTGGTACGTACTCACCCTCTTCCTCATCATCGTCTGTAGCTTTCTTTTTCTTTTAAAGTCGTCGAAATTTGTGAAAATTTCGTTCACAAGTCCATTGAATCTACCATTACCCTCATCGATTTTGATGTTTAGATCCCGAAAAGCTTCATCTATTTCCTGAAAGGACGATTTGAATTTGCTTTCCATTCCTTCCAAGGTCTCCATTATCGAATCAAGCTCTTCTTGTTGTGGCAGACCAGCATCTTGAAAGTCAATGATTTTCACGTTTTCATCCACATCTTGATGTGAAGTCATCTAAATAGACACAGAAATCAACTTCTTCAATCATGCATCCATTTTTTAAATCACTGGTGATCCTTGCAATTTGATTGGCTTTCAGCACTGCAATTTATCGGCGAATGGCACTATTTTTTGCTCTAAATCGCATCTTTTTCACCCAGCGAATGAAAAGGAAACAGACAAAAGACAAACAGATTTCAAGACTTTTTTAAAGTGACCAATCAAACATGTTTTCCTTTGTTATACCATCAAGTGAGGGTTTGTTACATGACATCTAGGTCTTTCTGTTTTGCACACAAAATGATATGAGATACTTGGAAAAGCGTTTCCGGTTCCGCTTCTTTAACAAACCGGTTACTGGATCACTAAAATATTTGTACTCACTAAAATCTTAGGTTTAGTCTATAAAACTGTGCACAATTTCAAAATGGATGTGATAAAATGGTAATTAATCGTGTCGTGCAATTCATTCTTGTGATTTCAAATCACGCTTATGATTTCAGACCAAATTGCAACCCACTCAGTTTAATTGCCATTATTAATCGATTCTCAAAGCTGCCTTCTCTATAACTTTTTCATTAAGGTCCTAATACGGAAAGTGTTCGGCAGCAGAGGTTTCGACTTTACTTTTAATTAGCTTAATTTAACAACTTTCGCTTGGAGCAGTGTGCCTTTTTATTGTTTAAACAAAATAGTGAACATTATTTTGTACAAATTTGAGACGTTCTTAAGGATTAACGAGCTAAATCACCTTTGATTCCCAAAGTTGTAATATACAAAATCATAAACTCATATGCTGTGCCTCAGTTATGCCTTGAGATTTTGTATATCTCAGAGCTTCAAGTGGCCTTAAGCAAAAATATAGGGCTTAATATAGGGGCAATTTTTCAAAAATATAGGGCCAATTTAGGGAAAATGGTAAAATAATAGGGAAAATATAGGGATTTTTTAAAGCGTATTTTATCCAGTGCCTGTTTTGCAACTCTGCAGAAGGTAAGGGACACAATATATTTAGTTCAACATTGGGAGCACTAGTAGAGAATAAGGTCACTGACTTTGAGCACGCAAGAAAATGTACCTAGAGTAATACACACACTGACCCTATAGAAGTACGGTGAAAATGCTGTTATTGTGTTTTGAAACTGTTAGAATTCTTTCTGGGTGAAACAGTGAAATTGGTATGCCTATACAACTTTAACCTCATGTTTAAACCCCTTTTTATTATTTTCTGGCGGGTAGCTCATGCTGTGGAGTTTTTCTCACATTGAGAGGGCATGAAGCCGGTTTTTTTTAAACCCCGGGGGGGGGGGGGTACTCCCATACATTACCTATACGGGTATGTGTCGCCCAAAGGGGTCGTGAGTTTGAAGCTCCTGATTTAGAACGGGGTATCCATTTCAGAGGCGTTTTCTAGAACGGGGTATAATATTTCGAGCGCACCAAAGCTCCACTTTTGTAAGCAGCCATTTGAAATTATTCAAGGACAGATTGCTTTTAAAAGTACGGTTCAATGCGTTAACGAGCAAACCGTTGTACTGTTGTTGCACCCTAGAACGGAGTATAAAAAATTGGCCCATTTCTAGAACCGGGTATCAAGTTTACGGGAAATTTTTTCTAGAACGGGGCGCCAATTTGGAGTCCCGGGCGACACATACCCACCCCAAAAATACCCAAGTGCCCCCCGGGTTTTAAACCTACTGATTTCTGGTGGTTTTTGTTTCTGACAGAATGTGACCACTTTTGAAGCGTTAACCTTGATACTGCAACACAATAACCTTTTGATAAAGTTTTTAGTTTCTATAGTTTGCTCCAAAATGCTTTAATGTAGAGTTGTTTTGTCCCTTTAAGCAATGACTCCCTGCTGTGTTTTGTTGGGATGGGCCCAAAGTTTTAGAGATGCTTGCAAGATGTAGAATTCTCATGAAGAGTGATCTACAGATCCAAACTTAAAAGAAGGAATTATAGCTTAAACTCGAAGCTACACCAACAAACCAAGTATGGAGAATTGTACTTGACGACTGATACCCTGCACTTTTTTGTGTTAAGGCGAATCTTTGAAGTGGAGCACAGTGTCTTTATATGTAATTCCTTTTGTTTGCAAATATTTGGTTAACGAAAAGTGCCACTTTCTGATCAGGCAAGACCACGGTTCTGGTTCTCTACGTAAACCTTATCATTTGCAGCATTGGTTTTGTCTTCCGTTGTAATTAAAGGAGCAACATTAGTCTTGAGAATGGTACAGTCGTTCTGTCAGACTGAGCTTTAATCTTGCACATTATTAGAGATACCTCATCACAGTTTGGAAATTCTTATTTTGCTACTGGCTACTTTAAGAGCAACCAATTATTGATCGATCCCCTTCCATTTGAAAAACGAGTGCACAAAGTTGCTGCATACATACTCCTTCTAAGATCTGAATAATATCTGAATAAAGAATCACTGCTCACAGCAGCATCAAATTAAGTACACTTACATGCACTAATAAGAAACTTATTACCAGTTTGGTCTTGGATGGTCCGAAAAAATCACTGTCTTTGTCACATTTCACCAACAGAAGTTCATGAACTTCAGTCTACTTTTATTTTCTGATGGAATTATAGGGATTATAGGACAATTACAAACTAAATAGGGAAATAAAGGGAAAGTTTAAAAATATAAAAAATATAGGAAATATAGGGACACTTGAAGCCCTGATATCTTTTTCTTTTCATAAGAAAATCTGTAAAGACTGCTATCGTTTTAAGTAGAGAGGAGCTTACGTTTCGAGATGAACATTAAATTGAGAAAAAGAATGTATCTGCAAAGTGCAAAATGTGTCGAAAGCTAAGGTCAATCAGTGCAATATATGTTTTGCAGATTTTCCAGGCTTGCTAAAGTGAAAGAGAAAAAAGAGGCATCACACTCCTCCCTAGGGAATAAACTATTAGAGACCTTAAGATTCCAGGACGAGAACGACTACGAGTACAAGAGTTGTTTCACGTATTGTCAAATAGTAGAATACCCTGGAATGCTCAATTGTACTTCTTGTCACCAGAAAAGCTACAACCAGTTGCAAAAATGTTGAGACACTCCCACGAAAAAACGACCTTTCTTGCTGCAAATCGCTCCTGGTCACAGGTCTGTGAGATATAATACTGACCTCTTTCCTCCCTCCCATTCAAAGTTGTTTCTCCAAGTTTTGAGTATGGTCTTCTATTGCTAGTAACTTTGATAAGGGGTGGAGGGGGGATCACAAGCACAAGATCTTGGACAAGCCATTTATGCCAAAATACGGTACAGTGTTTTAAGTACTTTTGCAACTGGTTGTAGCACTGTTATCTTATTGGAGGAGATAAAGCCCTTTCCCGATCGCAAAATAATAAACCTCTGACATTTGATGACTTGTTTCCACCACTACGTCTGAACTCGTAGAATGACGACCGCTATCACGTTTTCCTGCCAAAATGAAGCTTGGTCACGCTCGATCGCAACGTAGTATTGAGAAAATCTCGTACTCGTAGTCGTTCTCGTCTTAGAATGTAAAGGTCTCTAATAACGTGGCTGAACACAGTTTGATAGGCTGTGGATCATTAACATTTATTGGGGGTTTTATTTAAGACTCGTTGCAGGTATCAAGCTCAAATTTGGCAGAGAGAAACTATATTTATAAGACGTGACATTTACTGGGCTAAAAGTGAGATTTGGATCAATTGATGATTAAAAACAAGCCTAAAATTTTGATTTTTTTAGGTTTACGCAAAATACAGTCATTAGATTTTCTCATAAATTTGCACGCAGCTTACAACTAGTAACCCTCATAGACTCCTCATTTTTTAGAAACCACTTAACCAAATTGTAGCAAACAGTTTTTGAAATTTTTAAGAAAAGAGCTTTCACCGAAATCTTGATTGTATCACTGTCATTTACTGACGAGAGTTCGGAGAACACACCCGGACAACCAGGCGGTTCACTACAAACACGTTTTATTGAATCTATGCGTGCGCATGTAATTACTATATATGGTAAACGCACAGGGAGACCATAACATTTCCTCCACACAAAAATGATCCGTCCCTATTCTGTAACTGAGCCTAAGATACAATCTCAAGGAAACACTAAATCGACTAACAGTTTCTAAGAAAAACAGAAAACAAAGGAAAACAGAAAAAGAGTTCAGAGATCGAGTCTCTGTGGTGCCCTGCGCACTCTCTGAGGGTACCGCCTCTCACGGACTGTAGGACTGACTGGAGTCGCTTCAGGAGGGTCGGAAGCTATAGGTGTGGGAACAGGAATCATCTCTGGTTGATCTGCAACATCACCGAGTCACCAACCTCTAACTGACGACGCTGTCTACCCTTCTCATTCGCGTCCCTGATGCTCTACTGGTGCTGTTGGTTAACCATCTTACGGTTTAAGTTGGGTTTCACCAAATCTAGGCGAGTGCGCAACGGTCTTCCAAGGAGTAACTGTGCTGGGCTCACACCGGTAGTGGAGTGAGGAGTGTTCCTATAAGCTATGAGAAACTCTGCCAACTTCTCCTTCACTGGGTTTGAGTTTTGATACATGGAAAACAAAGCCTGCTTGAAGGTTTGTACTCCCCCCCCCTCTGCTATACCGTTTGTAGCCGGATGTTATGGTGCTGATGTTATATGGCGGATGCCATTCGACCTGACGAACGCCTGGAACGTGTCAATCTGTGCATATTTGCGTTCTGTCTTGGTCAACGATCGGGATGCAAAAGCTACCGGCCTTTCGCTGCCATCAGGCATGACGTGTGAAAAAACCGCACCGATGCCGGTTGGTGAAGCATCACATGCAAGCCTAACTGGTATCGCTGGATCATAATGGGTTAGCACCTGCTCAGATGTAATCATGCGCTTAGCCTCGGTGAAAGCTTGGTCACACTGTCCAGTCCACTGCCATTCGCTGTTTTTCTCTAACAACTGGTGAAGTGGGTGGAGAACTGTGGACGCATTAGGCAAGAAGCGGTTGTAATAGTTAACGAGCCCTAAAAATGAGCTAAGCTGTGGCACATTCTCAGGTCTAGGTGCGCTAACTACTGCGTAAATCTTCTCTTGTGTCTTGTGGAGACCTTCTCTGTCGATCTCATGCCCACAGAACTGAACTCTATCCCTGAAGAACTCACACTTCTCTTTGTTGGCCTTCAGATCCGCATCTTGTAATCGCTTGAGCACGCTCTCTAGGTTCTTCAAATGTTCTTCATCGGTCTTGCCCGAAACGATCATGTCATTGAGGATACACTAGATGCCAGGTATTCCCGGTAATACCTGGTCTATGGCACGTTGCCAAATCGCTGGACACGAAGAAATGCCAAAAACTAAGCGATTGTATTGGAAGAGGCCCTTGTGTTTATTGATCGTGAGGAATTTCTGAATTCCTCTGTTACTTCCATCTGGTGATAAGCTTTGCGCAGGTCAAGTTTGCTAAAATGCTTACCCTCAACCAAATTCGCAAAATATCCTCTATGCGCGGCAGAGGGTACTGTTCAGCAAGAAGTATCGGATAGACTGAGACCTTGAAATCGCCACACACACGTACTGATCCGTTTCGCTTAACTACTGGGACAATCGGGGTAGCCCATTCGCTGTATTCTACCTTAGAAAGAATACCGTCCTTCTCTAAACGTGTCAATTCTGCTCGCTCGCATTATTAACCTCAAGGGATCCCAAACAATCATCGCTGTCCCCGTCATCACTGTCCACCTAATTTACTGGTGGTCGGGCAGCTTGTGTCTCCCTTTTCTTGGATTTACAAGCCCTTTCAATATGGCCGGTCTTGTCACAGTGGTGACATTTTTCCTTTTTGAACGGACAACTTTTATGATCATGATTTCCCAAACAGCGGTAGCAACTTTGATCACCCGGCTCTTTAGGGGATGGGAAACCCTTTTTATCTGAAGGCTTAGCTTCTTTCTTAGGTTTCGGCTTCTTGCTTGGCCTTGATTTGGATAACAAATCGACTGGGTTTGACTCTTTACCACCCTGGAGAGCTTCAACATCCTTGTAAGATTGCTCAATAGCGATGCACTTCGCTACAGCAATGTCAAATGTCAGTTCCTCGAGTTTGAGTTTCAAGAGCTCTGACATCATTCTCTTATCTCGAAAACCCGAAACCAATCTAACTCTGAGCCTTTCCAAACGCATGGCATCACTAAACTTGCAATCCGTAGCTATATGCTTTAAAACAAGAACATACTGACTCACCGTTTCTCCTGCGTTACGCTCTCGGTTGTCAAACTCATACCTGGCGACTAAGGCAGATTTCTGGGGCTTCAATTGCTTTTGGAGACGCTCTACGATCGTGTCGTACGTGAGAGAATCTTCTCTTAACAATATCGGGGCCATCTAAGTCTTTCGCCAGATGGTACGTTTTAGTGGGAAGATTAGTTAACAGGACGGCTTTCTTCTGTTTTGAGTCGGTCACTCCATTGGCCACGAAGAAGAATTCTAGCTGTTCTGCATACGCCTCGAAGTCAGCTCCCACTGCGAACTTCTGAACTTTCCCGATGTTACGAACCGGATTTGGTGCCGCATCAGACTCGTTAGGCGTCTTGAAACGTCGATCTTGTTTAGGAATGTCTTCACTTTCTCGTCGTAAAATATCCCTTAAGATCCCATCACCCGGACAACATGGCGGTTCACTACAAACACGTTTTTATGAATCTATGCGTGCGCATGTAATTACTACATGTGGTAAACGTACATTGAAACCATGACAATCACAAAACTCCTTTGTTCGATATTTATTTTGGGGCTTTTATTGGCTAAGTGTGATATGAACAGAATTTCTGTCAAATTTCGTAAAATTTTAACGAATAGAGTTTAAGACATTGTTGTTTCTTTACATTGCTTATGAAAATCAACAACACACTTTGCTTCCTAAGTACGCATGCTAAGCACTTTTGGGCTCGCTAAGGTCCACGTATCATGTCAAAGGCGACAAAAACATGATAAATTTCTATTAGACTTATTAGCTTGTCCTCGCACTTTTTTCTTTAAAAGCGTATTGGATGCATACCTCCTCATAAAGATGTTAAAATGCATATTCTAGAGAAACTGTGTTCAGCTGCCTTAATGGAATAGAGTGGAGGAACTCGAGCGACTTGTAGCAGCAACATATTCATGTGCAGCACACACAAAGTTTATGCAGTGATACACCTCGATGGCAAATCGACATAACCTCCCCGACTGATTAAATTCTGGCTTCATACAGTTAAATGGTAGTTTAACTTTGGCTTATGCGAAAAAAAAAAAAAAATTCTCACCTTTGCCAGCACTCTTATTCCTTTGTGTCCCATGCCAATGTAGGGATACAGTTTCTCTCTTCCAGTGTACTTCATCGATATATTGTCCTGATCGATCTGTCTTCCGTTCAAGTAAAACGCGATTGGAACTTTTCCATTCTTTGCCAAATCAAACTTGACTGTACAGCTTACCAAGTCCCCCCTGTAAGCCATAGCGTCTGCAAAGAAATTTCTACAGTTTATTGTAGTAAATTACGTAAGAGCTATGTTTACAATGTCTATTGACATTCATATATGCGGACACGAGAAACGCAAAGCACAATTTGATACTACCAAAAGTTAGGACTAGTATGGCCAAAAATGCTTTCAGGTTTTCAGTAGCTAGGAGCTGGAACGAACTCCCAGAATACATCAAACAGGCCCAGTCGATCAATACATTTTCGCTGAAACTTAAAACGTACCTCTCATGACCATAATATTTGTAACTATTGTTTGTAAGTAGGACTTTCTTGATTTTGTATATTTATTCATTACCTTTTTTTTTTTTTTTTTTTTTTTTTTTTTATGCTTAATTTTTGGTTGAGGTCCACGCGTATGTTATCTGTGGATATCAAGTGAAACCTTCATTACGAAACGTATCTACCTAAAAAAATCTCTCTCTATCTAAAAGTATAAGCTTACAATTCTCTGTTTGTGCTGAGAAGTGTTCTTTAGTGTCACAGCCGATATTCAATGTTATCTTTCAGTTTTACCAGAGGGTTATTGTAGCAATTATGCACTACTCAGCAAATCTAAGTTTTAAAACTCTTTTGTATCTTTCTGAAACTCCGCAGCTGAAATACGTGTATTAGCCAAATGCAAAATAGCAGGCAGTGACATGTGTACAAATATTGGAACACCTGACATGTAATTTCAACAGAACACGTGTACTTCTGTACTTGTCTCTTTGTTAAACAAGAACTATTATATTTAACATTTCAAAGGAACAACTGTTGCGCTCTATTCATTCAGCTTGATTTACAACATGTTTTTTCTAAAGATTTAGGAACCGAAATAGAAAGTATTGTACTTTCACCATAAAGGAAAAGGCTTCTAACCAATCGAATTGTAACGCGTACAGCTAGCACGTGTATTTTTGAATAGGTTTTTGTGTTCCTTTGTGATAATCGAACACCTGTGTTTACTGTAGACTGTATAAAAGTGGTGCTTAAACTGTTGTAAATCGATTACCTGCGACATTTACCAACAAGCTTGTTCAGTGTGAAGTACTATCTACGAGGTTTACTCTACAATGAAGAAGTTGCAGCATTACAGAGAAGTCTCAGTTCTTGTCCACCCTTTCGTACCTTGGGACGTGGAAATTAGACCCTGTACCTCTGACAGTAGTAACGAGTGCCGGCAGCGAGCCAGTTGCCCTACCGAATTGCAGTTTCCCCCGTCAATAACTTCCATTAGCAAATCACTATTTTCTAATTCTCGCGCCCTCGCGAAGAGCTTTAGTTCCGTTGTTCTCCGAGTGCGACTTTCCTGCCAAATTTGTTTGACAGGCCGAAAGCCGCTTGACGCAGTGAAGTTTCCTGTCGTTACATTAGATATAATGTTGAATTCCTTTGCCGAAAATCTGTCGCGAGCAACCTTCTTCCTGACTTCACTGAAGCAGAAGGTCCAGCCCTCATTGGTTTTCCAACAGCTTTTGAACCCAACCTAAACTGTGGAGAGGAATTTGACAAACCCTACAACATCCCTGCGTTAGCCATACTCTCTCTGGTCAAGCCTAAAGGAGACACACCCTCATTACAAGCTTTCACTCCAATATACAGATATCCTGATTGCCTTCATAGAATTAGAAAATGTCAGTCCCAGAAACATATTGCAGTGGACAATTCAGAACCCTCCTTTTTCCACTGCCAACAACGCGTATTGCTGAGCCTGCGTGAAGATGTCAAACAGGGGCTAGGTGTCATGGTGTACAAGGTATAATTGTTAAGTCAAGAAACGAGGCGAACACATTTCATGGACCAACAGCTTGGTGTACCGCAGAAAACCGAGTGACAAGCTGAGAGTTTTGACCCAAAGGACCCTAACTAGACTTTCCCAATGGAACATCACTTGACTCTAACTCTGCAAGATAATCCCCCAGTCTGTGAGGTGCCAGATGTCGATGCCGAATATAGATTTTGAAATGTCGAGCTGGATGAAGAGCGGAACTGCATAACCATCTTCAACTCACCACTTGGCCTTTACTGATTATTTCGAATGCCCTTTGGTTTTAAAATGCCATGGAGCGTGTTTCAAGCTAAAATCGACCAGACCTTCGAAGGCGGGAAAGGTATGATAAGGTTCTTCGATGATACTGTTGTCTACGGCAGCTCAAAAGAAAAAAATCTACTTGCGCGAAATGATAATAGTTAGATGCAAAACTACTGGATACTGACTTTAAGTTTCATCAAGGGAAACGCACGATTAGCTTTTGCTGATCAATCTGGTGCAACCTGACCCTGATAAAGTTTAAGCCCTTAAGAAGTTGACACCCCCTTCCAATACACAGAAGCCGCAAACATTCCTCGGGTTAGCTACGTAAGAGGCCTGTTCATCTCCAGACTTAGTGCCTTGAAAGCCTAATTAAGGGAGTTGGTTAAAGAAGCAATTGTTTTGAAATAGACATCATCACATCAACGATGTTTCGATGCTTGTCATTAGAAATGCCATAAAGCTGGCTTACTATGATCCAGCCAAAAAAATCAGCCTCCAGGTGGATGCCTGGACAAAGGGCCACGGAGCGTCTCTACTGCAAGTCAAGACGTCAATTGCGTTTTGTAGCAAACGGCCTTAACCGACGCAGAGTCGCGGTATACTAAAGTGAAGAGGAACTCTTTGCTGTGGTGCGTGGCTTCGGCTCTTTTCATACCTGTTATGGTGCGCTAGCCGGCCACCATACGAACTCAAGGGAGCGATAACCGATAACGTCTAACTGCGCATGCAATACAAGTAACGAGTGAGTTTAAGATCTCTCTCGTTCCCAGAACCCGTCGTTTCTTTTGGTCACTTGGTCTTGACTCTCGTCCACTACAAATTAAGCCAAGTAGCTCTGGCGACGAGAATAGCTTAAAGTGGCACTAGAATGGAAGCGGACCAGTCATTATAGGCACAGGACGTCTAATCAGTAAACCTGTCACCACGAGAAGTAAGAGGGTATACAAAGACCCATTAAAAAGAAAAATATTAAAAGACTAATGGCGTCTATTGAAGGGGTTTTCATTACAATTCTGTCCGCACACTGGAACAATATACAAGTCTCCCCTAAGTGAACCTCTACATCATATGCTTTCACTGCGTCGCTTTTCATGGAATAATGAATTAAACACTTGCCTTCACACTCTACTCCTTTTTTAGGGTTTCCATCAAATATTCGTCCATCATCAATGTGATATCCCACGGTTCCATTGCGCCAACCCGGCATGGCATGATTTCCATACTCGCTTTCAACAACACCCACTCCTAGAAGTCGTCTATTTCCTGTTTCTTGAATAAGAACCTAATGAAAGAAAAAAAATGTCCACTTTATAAGTAGTATAGGGCGCATAACGTAACCTACACCACTTGAGAAACTATACTTAGAAGTAGAAAAAGTTTGGTACGAGACCTAAGACTATCCTAAAATACATAATGATATGAATCTCTCTATTTAAAAAGCCAATTTAGAATATTTTAAAATTCTTATACCTTGTAAAACCTACGCAAAGGCATGATGATATAATTATCTCTACTAGAAGCCTATTTAGAAAATTACTCAGTTTTTATACTCTCATTTTCTCTTATAAACCTACACGAGGCCATCATAACATGGTCAACTCTACTAGAAGCCTATCTAGAATAATATCAAACTCATACTCTATAAAATCTAAGTAAAAACATCAGTAAATACAGGTTTTGCGACACTTGTGTTTCTGAATTTCTGGGAAAAAAAACTTAAAATCTGGTGTCCTTAGCGCCCTAACAAAGTATTTATGATCTTAAATGTTCTGGTAATGTTCAAAGTGTTTGAGATGACCGACTTCTGCATCCGCTAAAGTACGCCCGGTGCTCTCGCTCATATTAGCTTCCTCACCAACTTATTTACAGTAGGTGTTCAGAGTAACCACCCAGTACGTCAATTATTACGTTGTACTGTTCAACCCTGTAACCATTGTATCTCTGCTTCAGCTTCCACATCATGGGCCCATACTTGAGTGTCCTTTCTTCACCTTTCTTGGCTCTACTCTCAGTCCACGGGCAGCTCATTTCAATTGTGCAGACGTCTTTCCTCTCGTGGCTGACAAGTTGCGCTTAGATCCGATTTGCTCTAACTTCGTTGTGCTCTGCATAGATGGGAATATCCCAAAACACCTTACTCGTGCTGTTCTGGTAGGCTGGTTTTGGCATCACCGATTGAGTACCATGGTGGAACCTCTTCTATCAACCCATTCTCTCGCAGGAGCTCAAAAAACAGAATCTTCAAAGCTGCATTATGCCTGCATAGGTACTTGGTTTGTTCCAGGGAGGAACATCTATCCAGTACATGTGCAACGCTCTCAGCTACCTTCCCACATAACCTGCATAGGACTTCGCCGTCGTTGGAGGTTTGCGTCTTCTCCTTTGTGTAGAGCTTCGTAGGTAACAACTGCTCATACAGTTCATACATGCCCGCGATGGTTTACGTAGGGCATGTAGCCTAACCTTTTAACCATTCAAAGCAGCTGGTTATGCTTAGGCTCTCATCTTCCCATCTGATACGGAATAACTTTGCTTGCCACATTTTGTCTTTAGCGATCTCCAAGAATTGCATCTCTTGAGTTTTCTTCAACAGATTCCCAGCTCTTGCTGCCGTCACCAGCTTTCCTTCCGTTGTAACACACCTAGGATTTAGGATATCTAGCTGAGGTGTGATGTTGACTTAGCTGCTTCCTCTACAAGCGACTAGTGGCCTGATAACATTGCGTGTTCTTCAAATTCTCTAACTACTTCTACAGTCTGGTCTGAATTGTTGGTCCGAACTCTGATACAAGATACAATTTTAGTAGCGATTTGATTTTAGTAAGCTTGTACTAGTGTTCGACTGAACGCAGGCCTCTACTCCCCTTCTCCCTCGGTAGATATAACAAAGAAGTTAGGCTAGCTGGGAACTTGCCACCGTACTCAACTATGATCTTCCGAGCTGCTCTGTCCACATCTCTTAACTCTGATAGAGGCCAATGCTGTGTCCACATTAAGTACCGCGGCACCGGGAGTGCATACTGATTAGTTGCCTGTATACGGTTACAATCAGATAGGGGTCTGGACCATATAATAGATATCCTGCGTAGATACTCTTAAGCCGCACACGCCAGGGCCAGCCGTTCATCCTGTCGAACGTTCCTAGCACCCCAGGAATTTGTAGTGTTTTCCTTCCCCAAGAGACTTCATGGTAGTTGTCTCGTCCATCTTCATACCAGATTCGTCCAGCACTTGGGCTCCCCTCTTCACGTTTACCACTGAGCAGTTTTTCTGATTCCAGTGGAGGCCGATATCCTGTATCGCTCCTCTAGTTTCCTTCAGCACTCGGTTCAGCTTGCTCTCGGAGGTAGCAAAAACATTCATGTCGTCGATATACAGGAGATCGGTAACTTTGACTTCTATAGGCTTGGAGAACCAGTATCCCTCCGTTGCCCGCAGGTGCCAAGCTACTGGGTTCAGACACAGTGTAAACAATCTAGCTAGGATACAAAGCGTCCCCCTGGGGTAGTCCCTTCATGAACCTTATTTTTCCGGACGTCTCTCGCCCTTGCCTTGTTGTATCTACAACTCTAGTATTCCAGCTCGCATACAACTTGCGTATGACCTTACCCAGCCAGTTGTGAAGCCTGTGAACGTCAGTCATTGCGTAGGCTTTGCGCACGTCAATCCATGCCATGCTTAAATTCCGTTTGCCTCTCTGGCAATCCAGCATCACTGCTCTATCGATTAGCAAGTTGTCCATAATACCGAAACACCCTGATTTCGCTCCTCTGTGCTGGCCTTCCATCAGGCCATAATGTTCAAGGTGTTGGTCCATGGGTGCCAGGAGGCAAGATGTAAACCTTCTTTCGGAATAAGGGAGGTTTTCCATTCAGAAAAGCAAACGGGGTATTTTTCGCCGCTCTTAGAAACTTCTTTGAAGCTCTCGAACACACCCTTGTACAGGGTGCCAGCACGTTTCCACCAAAAGTCAGTGATTTTATCAGGCTCTGGCGCGCTCCAGTTGCGTTTCTTGGACAGGAATTTGACCGCCTCCGCCACTACGAGAGCCCATTCGTCGCCTGACAGTGGTGGTACTTGCTCATGGATCGCAATCTTTACTGCCTGCAACCAGGCCGTGTTCTTATTCCCAGCCCCTCTCTGATCTCTTCCCACAACTTTCTCCAAAACCCGCTCGCCTCTTCAATGCTTTCAAACATTCGGGAATCATCTCGAGCACCTTTTCCAGGATCTTTATATCTTGGTCGCTCATTCTCTGGGTCCCTCTTCAACATCCCACTCAAATTCGCAAACACTCTTCTAGGAACCGTGTTAAACTGTTGGTTAATTACCGGCGAGACCTCTTGTTTCTTTTTCCTATCAAACCCACGTTTTAACTTTCGGAGCTCCGACCTTTTTTTCTCCATGTAGCTAACCAATCCTGCCACAGAGATGGTTTTGCATTCTTTTTGGAGCTGATACCTATTTCTCCTCCCTTTTTATTTTCGTGATCTTCCTATTTACTTTCAACCTTTCGATTTCCGCTTTCGCGATTGACATTTGTTTTCTGATCTTCCCTACCTCCTGGTCGTAAATTCTTTCCGTCCTGCGGTTTGTCCTCGTTTATTGGCCCTTGTTTTTTCCATCCTTTCATTAACAAAAACGCGCATACCACCGAGTAAAGAATGCAATTAGCTAACCACAGAAAACCAAACGGGTTCTGCGTTGGTATTACCATGTAGCGCTCCATTAATAACGTAATCGCTTGGTTGATCTCTTCCAAGTCTTTTAGTGATGGTGTTTCTTTTGTCCTGGTGTCAATGTCACGTTGGGAATAGTCTACAGGGTTGGTGCTAATTGCTTCCATTATCCTGCTTGCTGGCTCTAACAAGCTAAACCTTTCTTGATCACCGTTGTTAAGCTGTTGTTCTTGGGTCAAGCTTGTATGCAAATTGGGTTCTGAGAAAAGATCACCATTGCCACGCTGTTGATTTTGGGTCAGGGTTGTATGCAAATTAGGTTCTTCTTTGATCACCATTTTTTGCTGTTTGGCGTCCGTTGTTTTTCGCTTTTTTTCCGTTAGTGATAGTTCTAGTTACGCTGCCTAAAGATTTTTCAAGTCAAGCGGCTTGGTCTCGTAAATTCTGCTTCGTGAACCCCAGATCTTCGTGTCCCATTTGATCCCATAGTTCTTTCACAAGTTCCATATACCCATTTCTTCTTCCATTATCCTTAACTGGCGGATTCTCCAATTTTGTGAGTAATAGCGCTTGCCGCTTGCACTCCAACAGGTTATTATTATTATTTTTATTACATATAATATTATTAGTATATATAATATATATTATATCTAACCTATTTTTTGAAAACCAACCTAACGAAATTTGCAGTTATTTGAGTGAAAAGGCGTCGAAAGGCAGGTTTCTTAAGCCCGGGAAGCTCCAAATCCACAGCGACAAAGGAAAAGGAAAGGAGAAAATGAAAGAGCGAGGAGAAGGAAAGGAGAAAATGAAAGAGCGAGGAGAAGGAAAGGAGAAGAGAAGAAAAAAAGAGCAATAGTTGCACCCTTAGTTTTATAATAGCTACTTTTTTCGCCGAAAATTCTGTTTGACGCAAAAGGTCCGTTTGGTGATAAGATTGTCAAAAATCTAGCTGCTGTTGTTAAAATGACGTCAAAAGTGCAGCCTGGTTGCAGGTTATTGAACCGTTGACCGAGAAAACCTGTGGACGAGGTTGGGTTGTTTTGGTAGTTGGAACAAAATGGCGGAACTGTCGCGGAACATTTTACTCGTTTCACTACTAAATATTGTCTAAAGACACCGCAAGAACAGCAAGAAGACAACTCGACGGACAACATCCGCTATATGGAGTATATTTGCAGACCTGAGCAGACCTTATTCTCCTAAACTTCCCGATAAAGCTGCATTATCGATATGAACATACATCGACCGAGGTTAGCATGTTTTAGCTTGATTTTAAACTTGGAATTATTTTGAAGGAATAATAAAACAATTATTGACTTCGGCTTTCGTAGGATATGAAGAATTCGGCAGATCTCGGAGGGAGTTATCCACCGAGGCCGAAGGAATTGCTAGTTATTTTATAATTATATTATTATATTTAATATTATTATATATTATATCATTAGAGCCTGCTAGAATTAATTTTTTAGAAACATTGTAAAGAAACTTTTTAATTTTAGAGGCTGATGGAGGCTGATAGGTATAATGGATGGTTTTGTCATGTACATGTTTTACAATGAATTTATATATATCTACCTGGAGTTATGAAAACCGGTATAGCAAACATTTGGTAATTTTTCTCAACTTCCCCTGTCCAATAGCTTGTTTACAGTGTTGTTTACTTTTGTCGTTTTTTTTACTTGTTTTGTGGTTAGGGATTTGTGTAGAAGTGGATGTTGACAGAATTACTACCTTAACCCCCCCTCCTTCCCTCTCTCCCTCCCTATTTTTTTGTCCCTACCAACAATCCTCTCTTTAATACAAGTGACAGTTATTTGAAATAAGTGCGCGCCTAAAGCTGGTTTCGGTGCCGTTTAGCAGTTTACTTTTAGATATTGGTAACCTTGAGAAACGTTTCCCGGAGACCATCATGTAAAGCTCTGAGTTGGCACAAAGTTATTACGATTGCAGAGTCTGCATCGTCCAATATCGTATTTTAGTATATACTAAAACAGTGGATAGTGTTTTTCGCGCGCTCTGATTGGCTACTCAATCAGTGAATATCCTGCACTATTCACTGATTCACCTCCAGTACATTCGTCCGAGCGAGCGACGCCAAACTCGCGTAAGTTGCGAGCAAAATGCCTTCCTGGTTTGCTGCCGTAACAAACAAAGAAATTTCACAACTAATCAAGCAAGCTGTTCCCGAAATACACGAAGAAGGTGACGAAGTTCGGTTTGGAAGTTTTAACAGGTAAAGCTTTGTCTTTTTGACTTGAATTTATCGATAAAACTGGTGAAAAAGTTTTTTGTTTACAAATGCAAATTAAGCTTAAGTCTTGCGTTACTTTATTTAGTTGACTTGTTCATAAATAAGCTTAAAACTAAATTTAATAATCTTTTTTTACAGAATGATTTTAAATACAAAAAGAATTCACAACTCCTTTTGAAGAAATTTCCCCGCAAGAGCTAAACAAATGCCTTTATTTTATTTTGTCGGCAAGTAAAAGCGACGGCCGCGGCCGTTCGTTCATCAGGCGCCAAAATTGTAATCGTTGGCAACAGTATTTGAGTTAAAAATCATCATTTTTGTGCTCAATTTGCTCACTGTTTTAGTATATACTAAAACAATCATTCACCTCAGTGTCGGTGGCTAGTGGTGGAAATTTACCTCGCTGGTAAATATTCACGACTAGCCACCGACACTGAGGTGATTAATTGTTATATATTCTCGTTTCATTTGGCTAAACGGACTCAACTTTTCGAGTCTTAGCTTGTTTACTGTGCTCTTTGCTTATGTCGTTTTTTTTGTTTTTGTTTTTGTTTTTGTGGTTAGTGATTTGTGTAGAAGTGGCTGTAGACAGAATTTCGCGAATTTCTATCTAACCCCCCGCCCCCACTTCCTCTTTGGTTACTTTTTATGCTCCTACCCACAATTCTCTGTCTAACACAAGCGACAGTTATTTGTAGTCAGTGCGCTCGTAAAGCTGGTTCGGTGCCGTTGAGCAGTTTACATTTCGCTATTGGTGACCTTGAGAAAAGTTTCCCTGAGAGCATCATGTAAAGCTCTGAGATGGGACAAAGTTAACGTGATTCGCAGAGACTGTATCGTCCAATATCGTGCTGTATTCTCGTTTCATTTGGCTAAACAGATCAATCACCCTGATCAGGGCTGAGACAGAAAGGTACGACATTGTTCGCTTTTTAAGCGGACCACTAAGTCTTTGGCTTCGGGAACAGGCCTTTACGAGTGAAATGAATTAGGCGAGAGCAAAATTGCAGACTAACTTTGACCCGGGCCATAGACAGGGTCTATGCTGGTCTGTGAACCGTGAGACCGTGCATCCGGGAACTTGAATAAGACGAGTGTAAGAGAAAAGTCAAGAAGTGTTTATTTGCCAGTAGGCTGAGTTTTTCCGTGTTATTTGATGATATTTCGCTTGTGTTAAACGTGGGAAGATTATGCGTTGTTGTGGACAGTCGTATCAGTGCCGCGAAAGTGTGTGATTGTGTGATGTCCGCATGGTGTTGACAGGCATGTGGTCGATCGCGTTGTTGAGCTGTTGTACCAACCTCGTTCTCAGGGTCCTCTCCTACCCACCCTAGTGAGCGACAGAGAGTAGGAGAGGACCCTGGGAACGAGGTTGCTGTTGCACCAAAATATTCTCTGTGAACCATAACAACGTTTGGTCGGTGTTTTATTAGCTTAGCTGATTATGTCTTGAAAAACCAATTCTCGACTCAGGAAAATTGGGTCTAGGTCTAGTTTCAGCGGGCTCTTGGCTTTGAACCATTTAGGCCGGTTTTTGCAGAGAAGGTGGTAATTTGTATTCTATGTTTCAATCAGTTTGTCGTCTATTCTATGCGAAATCCTGTCGTTTATCGGACCGCAAAAAGTAGTGTTTTGGTAACTATTTAAGTTGATATGTAAGCCTTAACCAGGCACTTTTTGGCTGCAGTTCACTCAGCTTTTGACACCTGTTTGAAACTTCACGGAGTCAGATTACTGAATAAATGTTCATACGTTTGCGTCATTTTAAATTTGGACTCGTTGAAATGCTTCTAGGGACCATGAGAAGAAAAGTAGAGCTTTGTTATTTTCTGTTAACTCCCCAAGTTCATAACCAAAAAGGTTTGTTTTGTTGTTCTTCCTATGAAGTGCTGACATGGCGGCTCGGTTGCTCGAGGTGAGGCGTCGTTTTCCTGTACCATTCTTTGTTCTATTTACTTGAAACGTAGAATTTCTGCAAACATTTGCTTTCCTTTTTTTTTTGTCAAATAAACTTTGTTTTTTGGGCAAAATGGTTCTTGTTAGGAAACGCTGAGTTCACGAAACGGCCTCTTCTACGCGAATAAAAGGGAGTTCTGAACATTGTATTGAGCAAAAAATTCAGCTATGCTTCAAAGTCTTTTCTTGCTTTAAAAAATCTCAACCCTAAGATTTTGTCGAGTTTTAAAAGGTCGTTCTCTTCAAAAACAGGAAGAACACCGAGCTCATACATTATCCACTCGCTAGGAGGTGAATATTGTTGATTATGATTCATTAAACACTAATTAAAATTATTTCTCCGTTTCTGATTGGCTAAAATCACACGCATAATTCATCAGAACTAGGTACCGCTGACCAAATTTACAGGAATATATTTTGCCATATTGAACTGATGACTTCAAAAGTGCAGCAATGTTGCAGACTATTGAACCGTCAACCGAGAAGACCTGGGGAGGAAGTTGCGGATATTTTGGTAGTGATACCAAACTAGCGGCATGTTTCACTCGTTTCAGCAGGAAGAAATAGGCGAACTATTGGCTAAAAACATAGCAAGAACAGCAAGAAGACAACTTTAAGGGCGACATTTGGTACTTAGAGAATGTTTGCGGAACTGAACAACCCTTGATCCTCTAAACTTGTCGATTAACGTGCACTATCAATGGAGGTAAGCATGTTTTAGCTTGTTTTTAAACTAGGAATTATTTTAAATGAATAATAAAACAATTATTGAATTCGGCTGAGAATCATCTAAAGAATTATGCAGACCGAGGAGGGTGTTATCCGCCTCGGCGTACGGCCTTGGCGGATAACACTCTCCGAGATCTCCACAGCTCTTCAGATGATACTAAGCCTCATTCAATAATTGTTAAATAGCCCAAGACAGCGAACCAATCAGATTGCTTAAATCACCAACATCACTGAGTGTTTATAATATACTAATGTTCCATATGAGATGGATGAGTTTTTGCCAGTTAAAATAACGCATTCTAGTGATCAAAATAAATTATTTCTCACGAAAAAACACCACGTTTAGGTGACTGAAGTACTTCTTGAAATTGAAATAATTATATATACGCACCTCAAAATGGGGAAAATCGGGAGAGAAATGGCACTTGTAGCTGGCGCCGTGATATTCAAACGGATCATCTTTGCATGTGGAACAAAACGCGCTTCCTTCACAAATTAAGAGATTTCCATGGATTCTGATACCCTGGCTTCTCCAGGCCTGAAAGAAATTGTTACCGCGATTAAGATTAAAGCACGGAACATAGATACTAGTAATACGAATCATATATCTAGCAGGTAGATATACTGGTATACTCAGTTAGGGTTGGAGGGGGAATATGGGCAAATGATTATCTGATTTTCTTAGAATCCCCAAATTATTCCCGTTTGGATGCATGGCTTAGCTAGTAGAAAACGTTTCATTCGAAGAATCTCATACACTACACATATGGAAAATTATTGTTGCCGAGATGCGGATTTCTTGAGTTTAAATATTTTATGGCATGATGATGGTTGCTTGAGGTTGCTTTGTCGCTCAGGGGTTCTTTTCAGAATATTGTTATCCTCCTACCTACTTGTTATTCAAAGGCCCTGAGGTGGGATCTTATTACGAATTAGTAAAGCGCTCAATCCGAGGATTTTGGTATTGCTGGGATTGGGACAATGGTTCAGGGGCACTAATGGGGATCCTGTTGTGATGGAGCGATCTGACGTCTTTTACCACCTATTTTTTTCGGACTTGCTAGTAGATTTTAACAGTTTCTTGAATCTCATCATCATGACAAGTTACATTTCATCTTATCATTATTGCTTTTCAAGGTAATTGCTCTAGTTTTTTTAAATTTTTCAAATATAGAATAGAATAGAATATTATTTTTGAATATAGCTTACTAGAAGAGTTTTTTGGAAAAAAAATTGTTTTGTGAATCCGGCGCCTGATTCTCGATAATTACTGACAACGGCTCCTACGTTTTGTTATTAAAGACAATAGCTTCCTTTGCAAATTACACTTGTAGAAGTTCTATTTAATTGAACCGAGGAGAGAATCTTAATTGCAACAACATCAACAAGAAAATCTAGTTCCTTGGTGTCTTGCGTGTAGTGGAGACATACCTGTGGACCTGTGGGAAAGATGCCATTGTTGCCACCATGAGCTGCAAATGTCGTGTAAGCGATGTGGTTTGCCATTTGCCGACTTTTCGCAGTTTCCTGAAGAACATGGTCCATTTTTGTTTCATCTTTATAGCAAAAAAAAATTAGAAAATAAGTACTAATTTAACATTCACGCAGACCAAGAAAATACTGGGCAAGTTTCCCAACTATTTTGTATCTAAAGTTGTTGAGGCCTCAAATGTAATAAATGACCCTAAATGTAATAAAGGTCCTAAGTGTAATAACTTTTGGCCCTAAATGTAATAAAGGTCCTAAGTGTAACAACTTTTGACCCTAAATGTAATAAAAGTGTAATTCTTTCAGCTTTTTATATGCTTAGGGTCATAAGAAGATTTCATAGCGTTTGCTTTTAGCCTTACTATAGGTTAACTGAGCGCCAGAATGTGTCTAGGGAATATCAAACACTAAATACCCCAGGCAGATCCCCTCTATAGCCATTTGAGTAACAACTTATTATTATTATTGATATCATTATCACTGTTATTTTTATTGTCATTATTAACTGAAAAGAATGTTTAATCGAAGTGAATTGTAAATAGTCCTTTGACCGAATAGTGATTAATTGTAAATAGGTTGAATAGTTAGCATTGTTATCAATAATACTTCTTTAACGACAACTTCAAAACAGAGGTCCATATATGAAGCAAACTTTTTTAAGAACTCTTTAATGTCAAAAAAGGACTGACGTATCTTAAAAACTTATGTAACAAAACAAAAGAGCCTCGTTTATTATGGCAAATTTTCTCAAGAAACTGTAACTTCATCCATTGGATTGAACTAAAAAATCTGTTTCATAGGCAAAGGCCAAAAATGTCAAAATTGCAGCCTGTAGTGCCACCATGATTTCTAATCTGAGTCAATAACACAACATCAGCTAAACTGTTTTTACTTTGTCTGTTAACAAATAGGTGCATAAAGTGTACTTTAATTGCTCCCTCGTCTTTTCCACCATACATTGGTAACATAAAACCAAGTTCCAAGCAAACAACAGCTCAACCCATGCCTTTATCCATCTGGGGCTGGCATAGACGTACGGGCAATTTTTTGCCAAGGGGGGCGGTAAACTATTTGCCCAAAAAATTCTCGCAAGTTACCCAAATTTTTACGAAACAGTAACGTAGGCCGTACTGGCATATGAAGGTGGCAGTTTTTCAGAGTCAATACCTCCGAATTTTGAGCATAACTACGTCGCCATAGACAAACATTTGGAAAAATTGCTACCATAGTTTTATTAGATGATATGGATGAAAATTTATCATAGGGTTTTATTGACATCGGAGTTTTCATAGCAGCGAAATGATGCCATTGTCTATTTTACTTGCAGCAATATTCACGGCAAAATCTTCACGGCAACCTTTTTCTCCAATAGTCGCGTCGATGTTCGTAAAGTTAAAACGGAATCTATAAAAGAGTTATCGGGATATTTTGGGATGAGGTTTTAGAAATATGCTAAAAAAATCTTGATGTTTGGCCGTTATCTGTAGAAAACGAATCTCTTTTGACATGTAATTTCACCTCATAGTAGCTTCAATCTTTTTTAAAACGTGTGTAAAATATCATGGAGATAGCTCCGGCCGATCGCTAGAGAGAAGGATTCCATTTCATCAGTATATATCGAGGCACTCTTGTCAGCGGTTTTGTAAACATTTAGGTCTACTTTAATAAATTATTGCTTGATAGATAATTAAAAAAATTTAATATTCTTCTCGTAATTCGAGCTGAGTACTAGTCAGCCACTTCTTCATTTTTCACACCCACTGTTGCTGATGCTCTCTGCCATACACTATTCTACGGGTGGAGATGCAGAAGCTTATTCTAATCAATTCACGACTGCTAAGAGCCCATTCCAGTCAGTGCAGTGCAGTACAGTGCTCAACAATAAAAAAGTATAAATATGTAAATCAACAAGTGATACCCTTCCCTATAACCAGAAACTCATCACGTGCTAAGCAACCACTGTGAGTGTCTCGAGAGAATGTAACTGGATTATTACGCTGACTTCAGGATTTTTTTCAGATCAAAATCGAAAATATTTGTCTCTTTAAACTAATAAAAAAACACGGAAACGTCTTTAAAAAATAGCTTTGCCCAAATTTTCTCTTGCGGCCCAAAAAATCTGAGTTGCCCAAAATTTGGGGGGGCTGCAGCCCCCCCCCCCCCCCGGCCCGTACGCCTATGGGGGCTGGCTATTATCTCTTTAAGAGCCATCACAAATCCACTGTATGGGCCAAATTCTTTGCACAACTTGTGCAAGCTGAAACAGCCATTTCGAGCAGTGTCGCGATGGTTGTAGCTTATTCATAGCAGCCGACAAACATAACGCATTGTGAGTTCTTTAAAGGGTTCACCAAGCTGGCTGTCAGTTCTAGTTAACGCGAAGTCTATGATTTGGAAGTTGATTTTTTGGACCACCATTATCATCACCACTACCATTATCATCATCATCACAATCATCATTTTCTTCTTCTTCTTCTTCTTAGCTCTAAAAAAAGATTTTGGGTCTTCAAAGTAGAGTTCCTTATATACTCGCTAGAAAAACAGGAAAGCCAGCTGTCATTTGAAAACGTCATTTCATTCATGTGGTGAAATCCCGAAAAAAAAGTTAGCATAAAAACTCACTTCAAGAAGTACTCCTGGTAGAAATTAAAATCAAAGTCGGGAAGTCAGAAAAACTATAAAGATATACTGCCCTTAATATCTTGCTGCTTATATATAACTTCGTGTTCACAGCATTCTGTATGGACCGACCGACATACTCTTTTGGAAAATGATAAAAAAAAAAAAAACATTTCCCTTTTTGGCGCAACATTAAGAAACCCCATAGGCAAAAGTAGTCAATTTACCACGATTTTTTCTAATGAACATTAATACTTCCTTCAATTACTAAATTACCACGGTATTTTGAAAACTTTTGTGTAGATTCCATTTGTTTATAACGCGCGTTTCACGATGTAGCGATGTAGTAGGAAACACGATCGAGACGTAGTTAATTTATAAGTGTTTCTCTTACTTCTTGAGCGCTCTAGCCGCTTTCTAAGTTAATGAATATCTATGAAGACTACAATAGGGCGAAGAAAGTGAGTCGCCAGCTGGCTATAACATTAATATCGTCGCATGTTTCAGTCAGGGACTTTATCAAGTTTGGGGCTGTTATACTACATACATTAATACTGTTATTACATTTAGGGCCAAACGTTATTACACTTAAGACCTTTATTACATTTAGGGCCAAAAGTTATTACACTTAGGACCTTTATTACATTTAGGGTCATTTATTACATTTGAGGCCTCAACAAAGTCCTTCTACTCACATTCTTGTTTGGGTCACCTACTCGGTTAGTTCCACGAACTATTTAGGTGTCCCAAACTCTGCACAATGAACCTACAATTGAAATTCTCTTTCCCTTCACAATCTCGCGATTTTATGTTTTAAAGCACTAATTTGTATTAATTATAATTATTCTGTGTGAGTTTACATAAAAATTGACTTGACTTGCAAAAGCGTGGTTTCAAAACAGTTAGTAACTAACTATGTTTGAAAAAACTGGGGCCACAGCCATTGCAGCCCGGCTGTAATCAGACACCTACGGCGAATACAGATTGCACTACAAGAACTACTTTATGCTGTATGCGGGGTGAGATTAAAGAACTTTGATTCATCAAATTTACTTTGCATTTGTCCCTTTATTTTGGAAACAAATCTTAGCAAAGGAAAATATTACTTAGTTTCTTGCAATGATGCTTTGGGTAAGAATACCCTTCCAGATAGGAGACATTCCGTCGGCACTTTAATCAATATAATAGCGGAGGCTCCGCTATTATATTTTATTCATTGCCAACCTTCATGTACCGTACATAGTCTTGTAATTATAATGAATATATATATATGTGGTCTGTGGGTCATTCGTCCATTTAATTTTCAATTCAAAATTAAAATTTGAAAATCGATGTCAATTTTTGATTTTCCATTTTTTTCTTCCTGTATAAGGGATAAGCATGTTTCATAACTCTTTTTACCGTTTTCCCCTGTAAACAAAAATGAAAAAATAAACACACAGCTCTTATTTGCTACAATCAATATTAATACGGTTAGCGAACCATGGATATTTTACCTATTCGCGGGAAAATCGTTTCGCAGTCATCTGTTAACTACAATGACGTGAATTTAGAAAAAAAATTAAAAATTGAATGTCGCGATCAATTTTCAATTTTTGTTTTTGGACGAAGAATTGATCAATCGATCACGCTCTAAGTGACAAAAGTACCAAGAGGGGAGGACCCAAGTGCAGAAGTGCCCAGGAGGAGGGGGGGGGGGGGGAGGGGTAGAAGGGAGACGGGATTGCAATTGTCCGCCATCTTTAATGTCGGATACGTCCTGGGAACTAGCCTTTGGAAAGAAGCGGGAAATACAACTTTGGAGTGCTGTTTCAGCCTAAATATGGACGCCGTAAACGTCGATTGCGTGAGACATCTTGTTGTGACGCAGGGAAAAACACATTCACAAGTCAGTTTGTTGCTACAAGAAGCATATCCTGGAAAGAGAGGCTTACTGGTCGCGGTCCGTTAGAAGGTTTTGCCTTAAAAATGGAATACACTCGCAAATTCGGCTGTCAAACGAAGAGCTGGAACACTACACGAAACAAGTTGTTGCTCGGGTGGGTATTTTTGCTCGAAATTCTTATTTTTTTTTCCTGTGGGGGAAAAAAATGGTTGAATTAAGAAATTTTTTATAAAGTAACATCATGAATGGATATTATTCGGAGAAACCTTGTTGGTACGACAAGTAAGCCGTTCATCACCAACCTTCACAATCTTTTCAAGGGTACCGGTCCATAAAGACACCCTGTTCAAGGCGCTAAATAGTTAAATTGTATAACCTGTTTAAGACTCAAGACCCGGATACCACACCCTGTTCAGCGCCACGTACCCTTCTAGGCCAAATAAGGGACTGCGCCCCTAAGGGGGGAGATGAAATCCTCATTCTATTCCAAATCAACATTGATCACCATTGGCAGACTGATATGTGTCTAATACATTTAAATTTCACCATCATAGTAGGAGTAAAACCTTACCTTTTCTTTACGCAAAGTCTGGAAGTCTCAGCCAAAATGCAATAACTATGACGTTGCAAATTGATGACACCAAAAGCATACGCACTCTGTCAACTCCCTCTTAGCCTGTGTGCAGACGTCCCCCCTCCCGGTTGGGGTTAGGGTTTTCTGGTGGAGGGGGTGGGGGAGGGGGGGGGGCGTCTGTACACAGGCTACTCCCTCTTGATGAACACTTTTTAAATTGGCGACTTGGAGATGTTTCCCAAAGGTGTCCATCTCAAAGACAGTTGAAATATATCATATTAAGTTCTTGATGTGTTTTACTCAAGGTTGGGAATTTCTTAGTTTTGATGTTACAGCGGCGGTTCAACAAAGAGAGAACTCAACCCCGACCCCCGTCCCCATAGTGTTCTATTTGCAATTCAAGATGGCGTCTTTGGTCGGGTAGCATGTAGCTTGGACAAGTGCAAGGCCCTTACTCCCCCACCTCAGTCCCTTCCCTTCTTCCCTCCCCTCCCCGACTGGACACTTCTGCACTTGGGTCCTCCCCTCTTGGTACTTTCGTCACTTAGAGCGTGATCGATTGATCAATTCTTCGTCCAAAAACAAAAATTGAAAATTGATCGCAACATTCAATTTTTAATTTTCTTTCCTTAATTCACGTCATAGTAGTTGACAGATGACTACGGAAACGGTTTTCCCGCGAATAGCGAAAATATCTATGGTTCGACAACCGTTTTAATATTGATTGTAGAAAGTAAGAGCTGTATGTTTATTTTCTCATTCTTGTTTACAGGGGAAAACGGTAAAACAATTATGAAACCTGCTTATCCATTACGCAGGAAGAAAAAAATTGGAAAATCAAAAATTGACATCGATTTTCAACTTTTAATTTTGAATTGAAAATTAAATGGACGAATGACCCACGGATCATACATACACCCGTTTTCAAAAAGGTTTTCATATAGAGAGATATATAGATAGATATATACTTTTGTTTTCTTGCACGTGTGCCCGTGTACATTTTTCATTTGCTATTGTCCAACTTGTGAAAAAATCTCGGTTCAACGATAAATTTTTTCTTCGTCGGGTTCTTAAGCTTTGTTCAAATTTGAAAAGAACATGTCGTTTGAGTTTTTTTACAAAAAAGCATGCGCCCTGCAATACAAATTTGCAATGGCGAATTATATGACTGATTTTGGGAATGAGGAAAACAGCTCGCGAAGCAGCCGAGTTATGCGGCGTCATCAAATTGATAGGCCAAATGTCATGGCATCTGAAGCAAGTGACGAAGCATTTTTGTTGACGGGGTGTATGAAAAAATGTGCTGTCCAGGGGCGTGCTTAAGAGAAACTGTTAAACTAACTTGAAAACATTTGTGGCCGAGAGTTTATTCTGTCTTCAGTGGGACGTTGCCTTACAGGCCGTGATTTTACACGAAAAAAGGTGAGGCATTAATATATAGACCCGCTCATCATGGTTATGATAACATTTACTTCTATGAACCTAGTCAACGTCTTGGTCCGTTTTAATCAATTGCTATGATATTTTTGCTCCTTCCCACATATCCAATATTGACATCCAGCGTCACATCTTCCTTCTCAGCAAAAAAAAATCAGCGGTTTCGAAAACCCTTCTTTTTTTTTTTTCCATTTCATCTGCGTTGTTGTAAAAATGAAAATCTTTGATGATTTTCTCCTTATCCTGTTACCACAACAATTATATGACCTACTACTGACCGAATTCCGCATTCTTTAATTTTGAAAAGAATGCAAATCAAGAGAATTGCAGACAGTGTTCGTGCATTCCCTTTTTTATTGACAAATTGGAGCAAAGAACCTGACGAAGAGGAAATTTATCGTTGAACCGAGTTTTTTCACAAGTTGGACAATAAGAAGTGAAAAATGCGCACGGGCGCACGTGCAACAAAACAAAACTATATATCTATCTTTATATTTCTCTATATGAAAACCTTTTTGAAAACGGGTGTATAGTTAAGGCAAAAGGAAACAGAGCAAGCTCACAGCAAGCTCTGATGAGCTTTCTTAAGGTTGTCTAATGATTTCTTTATATAGTTGAAAAAGGTGGCATAATGAGTATCAATTTACATATTAATCAAGGTATCAAAGAGTATTTTTCGCTGATTGTACATGTGTACGTAATGCTTTCTTAAATGCGTTGCTTGATTTTACTTCCTTCAAATCATTTGGTAAACTATTCCAGATTATTGCTCCTCTATATTGAAGAGTAAATTTTCCATGATTTGTTCTTTTAAAATCAATGTGTATTTTTGGAGCTGACCTAGTATTATAGGAGTGTTTACTATCATTTTTTACGAAGTAGTTACCAAAAGTTTCAGGACGTTTGCCATAATAATGTAAGTACATGAAGTTTGCAATTAGGTATAGATTTATTTCATATATATTCATTATTTTTAATAACTTGAACAAAGGCTGAGAAGTTTCTCGAAAACTTGAAAAAGTCGTGAGTTTAACTAATTTCCTTAGTGCTATATAAATACATCTTAGTCTATTTGGATATGTGCTTGCCCAGTTAATGTTACAATAGGTCAGGTATGGATAAACCATGGTATTGTATAATTCCTTTAAATTTTTAAGCTCTAAATAATGTCTTGCTTTTGCTATTATTCCTACTATTTTTGATACATTCATTGAAACAGAATTGACATAATATGAAATTTCCAACACAATTTTTAATTTGTGCGTCAACTTGTGTTAGCGTAGCAATTAACGTTAAATTTGACCAGAATTTTGTCGTGCAGCAAGTTGTATGGTCAGGATTGACTTCAAACGTGCAGATATGAAACTAGCGAGCTCTGAGGCTTCATTGCTAAAGTAAGGGAAAAATCTATCATTAATTTTTTTAAAAACGGCGGTTTTTAAAGAAATGCCGATATCTGACACGTTTTCCGTTATTTGACACGGGTTCCAAAAATTTTTCCGCCCATTTTTGTCTAAAAATAGGGGGCAGGGCCCCAGGGCTCCTCCGCTGGATCTACCTTAGAAATCGTTCTCTAAAATCGTTCCACGCATATAAATAGTTTCGGGCCACCTTAAACTAGGATATTTTAAGATAAGACCGGAGACTATAGCGCGGCTGGACTAGTAAATTTTGTTCTCCTATCAAACTAGATTTTTAGGGTGCGATCATCTGTTTTTTGATAAACCGATTGTCATGACTGAATTCGCTGTACCAAGCGCAAGGCTAGTAGGCGTGCTTTCAAAACTGTATCGTAGCAACATGCAGCGCATGCTCATCAACAACGATCTTACTCGATTCATGCGACGTCTTGTAGTGTGTTCTTTTTTCTTCTGCCAGCAAAGCGACTTTCTTCTCCCCTGTAAAGAGGCTACCAAAGTTCGGTGAATTTCAAGATCGATGACCGTTCTTAAACAAATTGCGGCATGTTTCCAAGAGCATTAAATTTCATCCGAGCCTTTTTTTATCCCAATTCAGTTGATTTGTCCGGTAAACTTTCATCTCCTTGTAAACAAATGACCACCGAAACTCTTATTTTTTAGAACGCACCTTTTTGCAAGCGAATACTGAGCTACAAGTGCTCTATAGTTTTGACTTGTTCGGGTGCCGTGGCGCATCTGTTTAACAAATACTTACAAGACTCCACTTTGTCATGTGTCTGTTCAGTAAAAGTACGTTCACAGATGACGTCAAAATGCGGTAAATTACTCGTGAGGCTTACGCAACTTGGTCACTGAATTTTCTTTCCACATTTTGACGTCACCTTCGATCTGTAACTGAATATTAACATGTCAAAATGAAAACGAAAACTGGACATAATTTTGTAGCGCTTAGCTATTTTATTATTGTTCAAATTTAGGCAATTTTCAGTTCAACCCACCAATGCTGATTTTCATTTCGGTTTCCCCCACTGCCTACTTGGAGACGGTTTTCGTACATTCTGTAGTATTCGATACACTGTATATCAGAAAATCATTGTAGGGCTCTGTTAAATCCAATTGAGAGTATACAGAAGCTTTTTTTGAAAGAAAGTATGTAAAGTCCAAAGTGTCTGCAATCGTACTTCTAACCTATGTGAAGACATTACGTACTGTATTTTTTTTAAAAAAATTATCTTAACATGTACCTGTCAGAGGAAAGGAGTATCCATATCTTGAAAAGTACTCATTTTCGAGAGTTTCTACCACACCATCTAAAGACTTAGTCTTGTTGAAACAATTCTAGAAAATAAACAAACCAGTAGTTCTGACATGTAAGATGCTAGAAGAAAGGATAGAGACGCCGGGGCCTAACGGTTTTTAGCCCGTTAGAGGCTTTGTTTCAAATCTATAGATACGAGATTTTGTGTCGTTCTAGATTTCGACAAAATAAATACGTCTAGCCTGCAAACGTAAGACATACGAAGTGGTTAAGTTGATTTGTATAGGGTTTTCTAAGGACTGTTTTAGTGATTGGCGATGGCCAGACGTGAATGTTCAGCATTTAATCGACGCCCGTGCCACTGTAAGTTCCTAAGACAGCGTCAAGTGTTGACACTTTCCCTTTTTTCAGCTAACCACGTCGAGACCTTGTTCTCGGGTTCTAAAGTACGCAACTGTTCCCTGTGTGTTATTCACTTCTCAAAATGGCGTCGAAAAGGGGGAAAGGAAGTCTGAAATATGTAAACAGCAGGGGCGGTTCTAGGAATTTTTGATTTGAGGGCGGGGGGGCAAAGTTTGGTTCTAGGTTGAACTTTTTTGTGGCAAATTACTTCTTCCCCACACCCCCCACACTCCCCACACCCCTTCCCACCAATCGCGGTTGCACGTTATAATTCCTTTGCCCCTTACCGTGTACTTGAATTCTACTCATAAAGGATGCATAGTTGCCGCCAGCTGAGAAAGAATTAAGACTTCAAAGTTAAAGTAAAGGAGAAGTGTAATAATTGTGCACCTGTACATTGCAATTGTAAGAATACTGCGGAAAGCTTTGACCGCTATGTGACAAGGACTCTGTGCTAAAACTATTCTTGACAAAAACTGTTTTCGCGGTCCTTTACTGTGACTGCTGTGGAATTTGACTCTGGATATGTCGACCTGATTGCTCGTCATTTTCGTGTTTTTTTTTCTCCACTGAATCGGAGCTGCACAAAGACTTCATTAGTCAATAAAATCACTGATCATGAAAGCGAAGACACCTTCTGGTGTTGTTCAATGGAAAGCCGCTCTTTTTAGGTATCACTTGTGGCTCGTTATGGACTTGCGAAATTGTGAGAGGTGTAAAAGCTCTTCAAACACTCACTCAAACTTCCTCCTCAAGGACTTGCAAGCCTTTCTGAAAATTTTCAAGGTAAACTTTGTTGTTGTTGTTGTTGTTGATGTTACATAATCAGCTCCACGTATGTGAGAGCATAATGTCTTTAAATTTCCAAGACAAATTCGGAGATGCGTACCATTAAACTAGTAATAATTGCAAATTATTCATTTTTCTGAAAATTTTCAAGGTAAACTTTGTTGTTGTTGTTGTTGATGTCACATAAACAGCTCCACGTATGTGAGAGTATAATATCTTTAAATTTGCAAGAAAACTTCGGAGATGCGTACCATTAAACTGTTAATAATTGCAAATTAGGGGAGTGCGTTCGATGGGGGAGGGGGAGGGTGGTGGCTAGTGAGTGGTAGTGGGAAGGGGGTGCAAAACCTGATGGGCTTGTAATATTGAGAAATCAAAATCAAACATTTTTATCAATATGAATTTCAGCCGTTGTCTTTATCAGTGTTATTGTTTGTCCTCCCACTTTACAATTCGTTACTCTTTCATTTTTCCTCAAAAATGCAAGAGAGTACTATACTTTTTATATTTACTTGGCTAAACCTCTAAATAAAGTACATGTAAGTAACAACAGGTCAAACACTGACTATGATCCTCAGCATATTCTTTTGCACTATAGGATGGTCAATAAAATTGGCTAAAAACTGGGATACAGAAAATTAAAGTTATCTGAAAAGTTTAAGCGTCGCGTATCACTTTAAACCCTTGTTGTGTGACACTAGGCTAACACGACTCACCTACTTAGCACTGTTTTCAAAATATAACGCACCCGGAATTAGTGAGATGAAAAGTTCAACGTTTCACTGTTCAACTTCTTGTATATGCCTGAATTTGTAATAGAATCAAATATGGTCGATCTTAGCTGATCTTGCTTGAATCCATAAAAACAAATACAGTGTGCAAAATACACGTGTACAGTACACGAATGGTAAGCATTCTCCTTCTTCGAACGCAATAATTTCTAACCAAAGTTTGTGGCTCTTTTTTGTCGCCGCCGATATGACATTTTCCAGCATTTTCTGTATTCCGTTGGTAGAAAGCTCGCGAAATCTACTTTTTCCGCCAGTTTCTCCGAGAGAAATTTTGTTTCCTTGCGAAAGTTTTTAGCTTGGCAACGCTCAGCACAAACGTTTTCCATGTAAGGTCAAACTAAGGTATTTGAGCTGATAACCAAGACAGAGTGAACCAATCAGAATGCTAGAAATACATTATCCCAGCTTGAAAATTTAATAATAATTGACATATGATCCTTTCGATGTAAGAATTTCAGTCTCAAACAAGCGTCATGTCTGATGGGGGGTCTGCCCCCGACCCTCCCCCCTGGATCCGCCACGGAACAGTTACCTATCGAGTACCCAAGGTGTGGACACAACACAATTTCGCCGGTACCCAGGTACTAGTGCTCAGGCATCAAGTGAGGGCAGCCGCTAAAATACATTATGTTTTGAGTCAAATTCTACTCTCCCCCTTCTCTCTCTACCTCTCTCTCGCCCATTGCAAACCATGCGTAACAGGTTTTGGTGGCATATTAGCCTTGGTCACACTACAGACTTTTTACCTAGGTAAACACGACTTGTTGACAGTTTACCTACGGAAATTTGATTTTTTAAGTGTAACCGATTTTTCCCTAGGTAACTTACCTCGGGGAAATTTTATCGTCTGGGTCTTGGATATGTCTCGAAAACAATAGAGTTTACCTCGACAGCTACCCCAAAGCAATAGCTAGGGAAAAATGAAATACCGAGGTTGCTAGCCAATAGACGCTCATCGGCGAAGGTGTTGATGACAGAACCGGACATAGATCACGCTGTGAAAGAAATTTTGGGGGCACGAGTCGTCTACGTCAGCGCCTTTCTTCACGTTGCACGTTGAATTAGCGCAAGAATTAACAGCGAGATAAAAGAAAAAAGCGTCTCTTGATCAGCTAGATCCCTGTGAATTTTGCGTTCTTGAATTTAAGCTCCAAAAAATTTAACTCGCGTGGAAACTTTGGGAGCCGATATCACTAGTGTGACCTTCCCAGAATTTTTACCTAGGTAAAACAAAACCCGAGATGAATTTACCTCGGGAGACTTTTGATGAATTTGCCCTAGGTAAATCGGTTTTACCTAGGTAATTTAAGTCTGTAGTGTGACCACAGCTATTGACATATAGTCTCCCGTATACATGATCTTTGAGGCAAGAAAGGTCTTGTGAAATCAAAAATCACCGTTGTTTACAGGCGGGATTGGTGGTTCTCGTTTAATTTCACTTTGCTTCCTATTTGACAAGAGGGTAAGTTGGTTTTGCGGGTGTTTTTACTGTTCCATAACATAAACTAAGTAACATAGTTTGCGTCATGTACAAAGTTACTCACTTTCGTCTCCGGTTGTCTTTTACAGCATTGCCTTGCACACAGAAGACACAACCATTTTGTCAAAAGAAAGAACTGTGATATCAGGTTAAGAGGTACCGGTATTGGATGGTAAGTGCTGTAGGTCTGGATCGTTATGGCTTTCTTGAACGACCATTCTTTCAAGGAGTTATCCTCAACAAAACGAAAGAGAAAACCACAAATATTTACTCTCAATTAGCTGCTACCGTAAAAATATCTTAGACAGTGCATACTCAAATTGTTAAGACATAACTGGTGTTTCTCCTCAGGTTTCCGCTTTAAGTTAACTTCAAGAAATGCAAAACAAACCAGCACATATTTTTTATTTCGCCAACAATTGCGCGACTCTCTACATCAAGGAATGTTTATCTAACTGTCAATCAATTCGGGACAACTTAACTTCCTGCGTGATTTAGTTTCCGGTGCTATTTAAGGTTCCTTGCTTAAATGGAAAATTAAAATAACGCTGAACAACAGGGTTAGAGTTTTTCTTGTTTGCTTTTGTGCAGCAGCTATTGACGATATCTTAGTAATTGACAGTGCTTTCATGTGCCTTTCTCGCGCCTGGACCAATAAGGAACTTTAAGAACATTTAGAACATATACTTCTTAAAGATTAGTTTCAACAATAAAAATATCATTTGCTATCACGCTCTCATTTTGCATATTGCTCTATACTTAAAAAATACTTTATAGTTCTAGACTACTGTATTAAAAAATGTCCTAAACATTTCATAATTACAGGCCTACACTAGCTATGTAGCTATGCCGTCGATGTTACCTGAACTCGCTGGTAAGTGTTAGACAGTATAGCTATCATCATATTAACGAGCAGAATGACTCCCACGACAAGAAATGTTCCAAAAAGAAAGTGCACAATAATCTCTGATGTACTGTCCACTGAGTCCAAAGGATCCAACTCCGCTATTCCTAACAAAGACCAGGTAAGGAGCTTTGTCATGCTCCACCAACTGGGTCGATGAAAACAAGAAAAATCACAGCAAGTTAATTAGTATAAAGATTAATAAACGGTTTAGTCTATCGTTGTCTTACGATTGTCACTGAGATAGTGATCGCGACGTTTCTACCCCGTACTTCAGGTGTTCATTTGACGATTTATTGAGTGGGACTACAGTACTTGTTTGCCACCCTGGTTGTTGATGATTGATGTTTCACGGACCTCACTACTTATGATTGGTGGGTTTTTATCCAAATCATTGTTGGCATTATTAGAGGAGAGTGAGGGTTAGGGTGAGGGGTGAGGGTGCTATCTTGAACACCAGTCAGTTTTACACAGTTAAATATGTTATAATATCGCCAAATTATCTAACTTGTCATGTTACAGATAATACTTTTTGCTGCCAAGCCTGCAGACTAGTTCAGGTCGCGTACGTACCAGCCTGGGTTGCCTGTGCACGAAGCCAGCCTCATTTGAGATTTTTGTATCGATTTCAGTTTTGGTCCTCGAAATCGAGGCTCTTTCGTTCGTAGTCGATCGATTCAGAAAGAAAACAAAAGAACACGCAGAACACAAATAAAGCGTGATGTGGAAAACTTTAAGCTCGGGAGAAATCCTGTTTCGTGTATAGGTAGAAAGCCACGTTTTTGCAAGCGGCGAGTGTAAATGCAAGTAAAGGAAAAAAATTCCCCTGAATTGAAGTGAATATTCAGAATATTCCAAGCAATTCTTGGAACTTTACGGTAAATAAAAGCGGTGTTTTGGCTAAATTCAGTATTTAACCAGGCTTTGTTGTATTTATTTAATTGATAAAATGATTTAGCTATTAAGAACGTTTCTAGAAAGTGTGACAAGGTTTATTCTCCCTTGGTAGTAAAACGTTTTATACTCGACGGAAGCAAAGATTTAAAATGATTTGATAAGCTTGCGAAGAGTTCAACCAGTGTAACATTGAACTCGATTGGAAATTCACTCTTTCACTCACTGCAACGCTAGCGTGCTCTTGACTTAATCATGCACAGGTTTCAGACAAATAATACGCTGATTTATTCTCACGGACTTTTACAGTGTAGCTTGATACTAAATACTTATTTTGGTTCAAAATTCAGTTTTTATCGATCGCCTTCGTGTAGTGTAGCGTTACATGCACAGTTATTCGACACGGTTAATGTCAAATATCAACAATCGAAAAAAACTGCAGCTGATTCAATGTCATGCTTTACTCGCTGCACTTCACTTTACATTGGAAACTACTAGTTTATGGGAAAAAATTGTTTCACTCAGATTTGCTACTGCATCATGGAATACTCAAGTAAGAAAGATGAAAAAGATACCACTCTTGGAAATTCCATTCATTAGAAACATTTTGGCAAAATTTATCGGTTCTGTTTAAGGTGACTCGACCCAGTTTTTTGGGGGGGTACCATCCTACTTTGAAGCTCTCTGGTATCCCCACCTTTACTTTTATCGTAAGTCTGACACATAGAATGGATAACATATAGATCAATCTACAATATAACATAAAATTTTGGGCGATCGGAGTAAATGTCACGTGGTTATAATGCCACGCCCCTTTGAGGTCTGAGTCGAAAATTTGCTGTTGCCGGCATTTTTTCGTGAAAATCTCTCGGCTACACATAGTGCGCATTAGTGCCTTGCGCTGAACAGAGTTTCACCAAAATCGCAAAGACCCAATTCGAGAAATTCAGCGGTTTCCAAATTTAGGTCACAATTTATGCGAAAATGATAAGCAAACTTTACACGATTATATCTAATAAATTATGAGATTCATCCCTTTATTTTGCGCATCGTTATAACAGATGGGTCCTTGCAAGTCAGCAAAACGCTTTAGGGCCTTGTAAATGCGCCCGATTTCGAGCAAAGCAAACATATAGAAATTATAGTTTTCGCTATTTGTTGACGTTTGTCAGCGTTTAAGAGTCCTTCTCGCGAAAAAAGCATTTTCTTGAAAATTCGTAGCTTTTTTTCCTTCAAATTTTTTCAGGGCCACAACTGATTAACTAACTACCCGTACTATGAATTTCATGGTCATTGAAAAAATGTCACATTATCTTCTATAAGCCCAAACTTGAGTAAACATTGAAGATTTTTAGCGTTTTGGCTGAGTTTGTGCTTTGGGAGTTGTCTATTGTTTCTAGTCTGTCATGATACAGCATTCTTGTTCAGCAGGCGTGCAATGACCGCGCTTGCTGACTTCCAAATGCTCACCGAGATAAGATAATTTTGGTACAGTGAGACAGGCCATCGCATGATACATAGAGGTTTAACTCACAATTTTTAATCAATTCTCGTGCTTCTTCTGCCTTTGCAAAAAAATCAAGAAGTGCCACAAAGTAAATCTACTTACTATTAAAAAAGATATCATTTTTTCATAGGTTTAATGCAAGCCAATAATTAAACCAACTTGTGACGAGAGTCCCTTCTATTTTCTCATACTAAATTATCATATCTCTGTGAACATTCGGAAGTCAGCCAAGCGTGGTCATTGCACGCCTGCTGAACAAGAATGCTGTATAATGACAGACTAAAAACAATAGACAACTCCCAAAGCACAAACTCAGCCAAAACGCTAAAAATCTTCAATGTTTACTCAAGTTTGGGATTATAGAACATAATGTCACAGTTTTTCAATGACCATGAAATTCATAGTCCGGGTAGTTAGTTAATCAATTGTGGCCTTGAAAAAGAAGGAAAAAAAGCTACGAATTTTCAAGAAAATGCTTTTTTCGTGAGAAGGACTCTTAAACGCTGACAAACGTCAACAAATAGCGAAAACTATAATTTCTATATGTTTGCTTTGCTCGAAATCGGGCGCATTTACAAGGCCCTAAAGCGTTTTGCTGACTTGCAAGGACCCATCTGTTATAGCGATGCGCAAAATAAAGGGATGAATCTCATAGTTTATTAGATATAATCGTGTAAAGTTTGCTTATCATTTTCACATAAATTATGACCTAAATTTGGAAACCGCTGAATTTCTCGAATTGGGTCTTTGCGATTTTGGTGAAACTCTGTTCAGCGCAAGGCACTAATGCGCATTATGTGTAGCCGAGAGATTTTCACGAAAAAATGCCGGCAACGCAGATTTTCGACTCAGACCTCAAAGGGCGTGGCATTATAACCACGTGACATTTACTCCGATCGCCCAAAATTTTATGTTATATTGTAGATTGATCTATATGTTATCCATTCTATGTGTTAGACTTACGATAAAAGTAAAGGTGGGGATACCAGAGAGCTTCAAAGTAGGATGGTACCTTCCCAAAAAAACTGGGTCGAGTCACCTTAAAGCTATCTCTATCCTTAATCCGGCCAACTACAACGTTATCGCTCTTTCTAACATTTTAGGAGGCTAAGCTAACACAACGTAACACTTAAATCAATAGTTTATATATCAGCTCTCACGTTGCCTCAAAATTCAAATTTCAGTTTAACAAGAGTATTTATCTAATATCCGTTGTCTTAGGCTCTCTTCACACTACAGCGGATGGTAGCTCTTCGTGACGCCACGAAAAGCTATCTCGTATAGTATGAACAGCAACGGCAGGGGCGGCAAAAATCGTTCACACACATCGAACATCACGCCGGAGCAGTTGGCCGAGAGGGTTTGGTGCACGAAATTCCGGTCCTCACTCCTGAATATTTGCTTCCGTCTCAGTGGGTTCCAGTCCTTGGTACTACGTATTTACTTGCGCGACGGACAGCTGGAATAGGTGTTCACACTGCACCAAAGTATGGCAGAAAAGCTATCCGACAAGTGAGGCTCCACGTTCGAGAGTAGTCTGCTACACAACCGCTCTCACGGGGAGGAGCGTTAAGTGACAGCATAAAGAACGGCTGCGGAATAGACTACTTTCGAGATCGGTGCGGTGCAGCTTGTTCCGTCACAGAAATTCCCCCGCCACAACCGTTCTTGTGTGTGAACAGGAGCCTTATCCGTTCTGATTTTCATGGGGGCGCAAAGATATCCACTGTAGTGTGAACATAGCCTCAGTGGTCGTGAATTACCTTGATCCTAAGGTACTTTTTCCAGGTACATTTAAATGAACGCCGGTAACATTCAATAAGAAACATTTGGCATGTGAAATAAGTCGACCATCGAGAAGAAATAATAACTTACCAAGCTAATCCACTAGACGTTTTGCAAGCACTATAATGATGGAAACAGGAAAGCAATTAGAACGTTTAAACCGTACAAAACTAGGGTCATCACCAGCTTTGAATAGTTTAATTGTGGTTCGTCAGTTTAGTAATAATCAGATCATAAATGATGCGAAACTTTATTTACATAGCGCTATTTCCAGTAGCTCAATAGAACTGAACAAAATTCATAAAAGGAAAAGAAATGAATTAAATAGTTACATCAATGCATACATATATGTACTTAGCAAATATCCAAAGTTTATGACAACGTGTAATTAAGAACTTCTATAAATTGCATTCGTTAAAACTGAAATAAACTAGTCCTCGTAACAATGTTTAAAAAGCTAAGTCTTACTAAAAAAAGTAATGTTGGTTTTAAATTATGATAATGAGTCACTGGTGCGCATATAGTCTAGAAGTGAGTTCGAAAGGGTAGGGGCTGCGAAAGACAACGACGTACCTATGGCCATATAGCTACAACCAGTTGTAAAAGTACTTGAGACACTGTACCGTATTTTGGCTTAAATGGCCTGTCCATGATCTTGTGCTAGTGATCCCCCCTCCACTCCTTACCAAAGTTGCTAGCAATACAAGACCATGCTCAAAACTTGGAAGAACAACTCTGAATGGGAGGGAGGAGGGAGGTCATTATTATATCTCACAGACCTGTGAATAGCAGCGGTTTGAAGCATGATAGGTTGTTTTTTCGTGAGAGTGTCTTGACCAACATTTTTGCAACTGGTTATCCGTCCATTGTACTTTTAAATAAGAAGGATCCGTGATGAGGATTGGGTTGGTTCCTGGCCGATATGGCTGTAGCAAATCTTTAATGTAGGCAGGTGCTAGTCCATTAAGTGTTTATACAAACAATAGTAATAATTTATAAATAATATATGTCTGACTGGAAGCCAGTGGAGTTGTTTAAAATGGGCGTGATGCGGTTGTACTTCCTGCTGCGTGCAATAAGTCGAGTTGCAGAGTTCTGTAAATTCTGAAAACGATCGCTAAAAAATTTAGGGGAACCGTACAACAAAGAGTTACAGCTAATAAAGGCGTGAACTAAGGCTTCTGTGTCGGATATAGATAAACAGTCCCTTATCTCAGCTAAACTGCGCAAATGAAAAAAAAACCCTGCTGCTATTGTTGTTCGGCTGCATTTAGACTGTTCACAGTCCTCTATTTTTCCGTAAGATCATCGAGATCGAGAGCTTTGCGTTACGGGCTACCCATCTTGCATGAGTGTCAAAACTACCTAGGGGGCGGGGGCGGTTTGGGAGGAAGCGAGAAAAATAGAAAAATTATCTCGCCCCCCTCCAGCTATAATACCCGACGCCCCCCCGTACAATTGAAAATCAAGATAGCCGTGAGGGTAAGACGTGGTATGTTTAAACGATCTCATGAAAAAATAGGGGACTGTGAACAGTCTAGGCTGCATTTGACTTAAAGGCCAAATAGATTTGTGTATCGTCTGTATAAAAGTAGAAGTCAAGCTTATGGCGTTTGATGATGTCTCAAAGAGGCGAGGTGTACAACATCGACCGGGGCCAACGACTGATCTCTAAACGAATACAAAAAGTAAATCTTTAAGAGCAGATTTGACTCCATCGGACGATAACAAACTGCTTTTTAAGTGTATTTAGATTATGAGGATCTAAATACACGTAACTACCTTTGTTGGCAGCTCATGTTGAGTTCTATATACTGTCCTTTGCTATAACATGTCTTACAGTCAATATTAGTATACTGTATAAACACAAATTAACGTTACTGTTAGTCGGGAAGAAAAAAAAGTAGCATTAGAGACAGCTGTTACTGTGTTAGGTATTCAATCCCATTCCTGCATTTTTAAGTAGCTAGAAAATGTCTTGCATCACCTAGTAATATACTACGCTAAAGATGTACTCTACTTACGATTCCGTGCCATTATTGTTGGAAATGAATGATCTTTCTGCCATGTACACCTTGGTAATGGAGAAAGAAAACGCCAAAATAGTTGCAATAAACTGCCAGAATATCGTTATCACGTCACCGATGATTTGAAACAAAGCGATCTGAATGGCACCAATCCCCTTGATTGTTTCCATCACGTGACCAAAGGCTCGAAGTGTAAGGAACATGGTATTAAGGCCATACAGATAACCAGAAAAAACGAGAGCTCGATTGTCGGTGACAGATTCTGACAAGTTCCACGTGACTACTCTGAGTACAAAGGTCACTAAGTAGTTCAGAAGGGCGATGAAATCCAAAATGTTCCATCGATCTCTATAGAATATATAAATTATCTTTGTATCGGATTAAACAGAAATGGAAAATTTTCATTGAGATTAGAGCCTTCCTTTTTCATCCACCGCTCTTCTCTTCCCTTCCTCTTTTATTTAACTGAGTGAATTTTTCTCAAAAAGCCATTATTAAATCCTTAAATATCACTTAACTACAAAACAAAAACAATATGCGAAGCATTGTGAGTTGATTGTCAAGGCAAATAGTGTCGTAAGATGCTTGTTGTTATTTGGTAGAGAACAAGTTAGAGTTTTATGGAAGCTAATATTTAATTAACCTCGACCTTGAATACAACACTTTCCAAAATTCAAAAAGAAGGTCCGTTAAAGATTCTTCAAACTGGAACTATTCACTTCTATATATGTAGTTAAAAACAATGAAAAATGTAAAGGAACAACACCACCACTAACAGCAACAACGACTAATAAACAACCACCAATAAAATGTGGAACTTTGTAGTTCTTTAGAAATATTTTTACCATTTTTTTCTATATTTATCCGTATTTTCTTAACTTTTAAATTTTAACTTTTTATAAATGTTAGATTTTAGAGAATTATAAATTTACCCTAATGATACCATGTATAAACTCATTTATAATTTTTTCTTTTTTTTTCCCCATTATTTTAGTGTCTCCAATTAGCTTTTATAAGCTAAGGACATCGACACTTAAATAAAGTTGTTATGTTATGTTAAAGTTGTTATGTTATACCTCAAGTATTTTTTGCATCTATGTAGAAAAATGGCTGCTTTCCCTTTTTCTTCTTCTGCTTCTTCACCGCAGAATTGGTACGCTGATCCTCTTAAATTCCTAGTTGATTTCTTTTCCTCCGCCTTTGGTCCCCTTGATTTCTTAGTTGCAGAGTCACCTTTGAGTTGTTCCTGGACACCTAGGAACTGTCGACTTTCCATCAAGATCCTTCCCAGGAAGAACACCAAAATAGCCCACTCTAGACCGCTGAACGGGATGCTTGATGTCTCAAGACAAAGAGCGAAGTGTAAACCAAGCAGTGCCAGGTAGCTGAGCGTGTCTCGAATGAACACGAAGTAGGGAGTTGTAAAGTATTCTTGGTAACGTTCTGCAAACACAGTAAGGACAAGAATGATACATAAAATAAGAATTATACATAAATATACCATAACAATAGCAATAACTGTTTTATATATCACCTAATGGCCAGGCAAGGACACAAAAAATATGGACGCTGTTTCCAAATAAATTCCCTCATTTTGCCAGCATCTTTCGTGCTCGATAAATACAATGCATGTTACTTAAGCATCTACCCATAGCTCTTAAACCTCCTTTAGGAACCACTAGTAAGAAAACGTATTGGAATTTTTCGTTGCTGGGACAAGTCTTAAGAGGTTCAGCTATTCCGGCTGTTTAGAAACCCTCACTCTCTCTTCTCCAATTCTCGATTTCTGGCCTGCAGATTTATTTAGGTTGAGTTTGTTATCAAACTTCACGATTGATCTTTACTTAACGTCAATTTCGTCCAAAAGGGCACAGCCTCTAGCAAGCTCTTCCTTTGCAAATCGCGAGCGTAAAAAGTCACGTGAATGATCATTAGCCCCCTCTCTCGATTCCCAAATGGAGAGCCTTCTTGTTGCAGGCTTTTACGGTGAGTAAATAAGTAATATGTTTGATAACCAGGTTTCCACATTGTGGCTCTTTATCTTTTGCTATTAAAAAACTAAAAACTGAAAATGTGTATCGATTATTTACAATAAAATATACTAAAAAAATAGAATAAATAACGATTAAAAGAGAAAATATTTACAATAATCCCAGTAAACTTTAATACAATTAAGATAAGTTGACCTGATCTGTGCCCGGTTCCTTAAGAATTTAAAACAGCGCGAAGTAAATAGATTAGAACCGTCACACTTTTTCAGATTATGAGTAAGATTATTAAAAAGGGCGGCCGCAGTGTCCTGGAATGTTCTTTTTTCCACAGGAACTTGTAATCTTACAGATGTCCGAAGAGCGCAAACGTCTACATATAGAGACTCTCTCAAAGTTCTAATATGAAGGCCACTGCTTAGAGTGAAATGCTTTAAAAGTCAACTTAAGCAAACCAAAATCCCTTCCCTCTTCAGCTGGGAGCCAGATCAGTTTAAAATTTCTCCAAAAATGATTTACTAACGTATCTGCCGTAAACAAAAGAGATGCCTTTAGACGTCACAGAAACTCATAAGGAGTTGAAACGTGTAACTCTCATATGTTTGCTTTGTCCGATGTTCGTGATTATTCATTTTAGAAAGTACCATATTTGGAACAAGAAGAAGAGATAACTGACCAATCAAACTTCGTAAACAACGTGACGTAATTTTCCTTCAGGTTCCCGCGCCCGCTTAAAAAAATGGCCGACAAACGGGAGAAAAACTCCCGAAAGCCGAGAAAGCTTTCAAAGGTTGAAACCAGGAATATTACTGAAACCGAGCAGGATATTATGGACCTTTATTATCGGGTTTTTCGTGGGAAACGGCAAACCGCAAACCGCAAAATGTCATGTGACCACGGCCTTGCGGTCACGTTTGCAGTTTGCAGTTCACGTTTGAACCGCAGGAGGGGCTTCCAGCGGTAAGTGATTTACGGCAAGGTTTTTTACCACAAAAAATTGATTTTGGGCGGTTAAAGTGATGCACTTCGACTTGATGAAAACAACATGGCGGGCCTAAACAAATGAACGCGTAGTTCAAATCAATTTTCTATTCCTTTCTGCCGCACTAACAATGGAAAGTATTCTGTTCCAATCCAGAGTTAAATTTTTTTTTCTATCTTGTTACTGAATTCATGACTTAACTCAGTCTCTGTTTGGTTCCTATTTTTAACGTATCACTCCGCGAATATCATTTTATTTTGCTTATTTCTTTTAGACAGGGGAGCTCAGGCTTCATAAAGCCTTCTGGTTTCTTCTGGGCTCCCTTGCAACCTTACAATTCCTATATGTATTCTTGTATTGTATTGTATTTTGGCTAAATAAAAGTGAACGGAACTGAACTGAACGCCTTGCTAAAGTTTGAAATCTCGGCAACGCGAAACTGCAAACGCGTAACTGCGGTTTGCGGTTTACCTAATGCTAAAGGTCTCTATTATTGCCTTACCACCCGGGCCAAACGTAACATTATGAAACCTATTGACGGCCTCGCAACTTCTTGAAATTGTCACTTCAAAAAACGATGCCTCGTTGACCCTCTGCACAGTAAACTTATACTGCAAATAGGCTTTTAAAATTCTTATGTTAAAGTCTAGAATAAACAGCGAAAAATATTTTCGAATAAAATTCATTAGCTGCTTATCGAAAAGTGTCCAAAACCTGAACCTGACATCTTCGCAAAAAGTGATGCTTGTAATGAATGTGAGAAGCATTTTACAAGCTTAAATTAAACTTTGATGTTGTAGTCACGATCGTGTTTTGAGCTAATTTTATGAATGAACAAACTCAAAACAATAGACAGAGAAGCCGTTTCTTGAAAATTTTTATTCAAAGTCCAAAAAGTTAATCCTTTAAAGCAATTCGGAAAACACTGGATTGTGGATCGGTGGATCTGGATCGTGGATCCGTTCACGCAAGTGAAATCAGCTAAGCACATGGCAAAATTCAACACAAAATCCATCTCAAATCAGGGCACATTTCATAATTTTTCTTTAGCGCCTGGCTGCATTTCAAAACAGACCATGGGCTCCGCCGTGAAGAAAACAAGGTTGAATTCCTCGAAGGACGATTTCTTGATGAAAAGCTTCCCTTTTTCCACAAAAAGAAAGCTGAGCATTCTTTTGAACTTTCTCTTTCCATTTTTTGTCTTTTAACGGCGTATTTTTAACCTTGAAATGCAGAACTCTTGTCTTAAAACATCTGCATCGTGATCGCGCAGTAGCCATTTTGTTGAAAATGGATATCCGTCACTATGGTTTCCAAATATGGTCAAAACGAATATTCACGAGCACTGAACGCGAGTTACACGTTTCAACCCCTTATGGGTTTCTGACGTCAAAGTTGTCTTCCTTTTTTCCTAAATCATACAAAACAGCTGTGACATCTGAGACGTCGCTATGCTTAAGGGTCCAACCTGACTTGTAACTCTCTGTAAGTATCTGTAGTAACTTCTATTTCAATCTGATAAATCGGTAGAATTACTAAAAAGCCTGCGAACACAGGTGAATTTCCAGTTGGAGAAAAACGGCGACCATCGGAAAGTAAGTCGGCCGATTAACAAAAACATAACTGTCAAAAAAAGTACATTGTGTTAAGAAAAAACTTACCAATCCAATCTATTCCGTGAAGTTCTAATAAATAAAAGAATAAACAGATAAGCAACAATACACCTGCATTATTCATGCCTATTAATATTTAAATTTAGGGATGAAAATCTCGGGGACTTCAAAAAGCTTCAGAGTTGCATCAGTTTCCGTAAAACGCTGTAGTACACTACAAAGCAATTTTTTCATAAACATTGTGATGTTGGTTTTAGGAACGTTTCGGCTCCTGCTAACGTATACTAGAATAACTGAAATAAAATAACAAAAAACGTAACGAATGCCCATTAATCGCTGACTCTACGACGCCCATTTGCCAATTTTTATTATTTTATATTTCATTCAACAAAAAGGATAAATCAATTAAATGTGATCAGCGAGTTTCAAATTAAGAAAGGACATGTTTAGGTAACTTCAAAACGACTGAACACTCATTAGATATGGAGATCGTTTTCAAGATTTACCGAACAGGTGACATGGTGTCCACCTAGATAGTTTCACACGACAGCTGAACGTTACAAAGAAGCAAAAACACCAAAAGTAACTTCTACATTTCACCTGTCTAGAAAAAAGCCTTACTCAATATTTCCCCATTTTGCGCCAAGAAGTATTCGAAGTTCGATTATACCAAATAGCAACATACCGTGCAAAATACTTTTCCCTACAATTTCCGGATTTGCGTATTCTCCAAAGCGCTTGACCTTACTCCTGTCATTGTTGATCCTCTCTAATTCCCGGACGTTAATATGCGGACCGATGCCCACTGGCACTATCTTAAATCCCTTTTCTTCGACTTTCTTAATTTCTTCTTTAACGTGTTCTTTTTTATGCCTTTCACAAACTTTATGGTCTGTAAGGATCACCAGAACCTAGATCAATGTTGGAAACAATAAATTAGCATCTCCAGGCTCAGTTTTAATTAGCTGTAGACGTTGGACGCTGCTGACTTAAGTCCAGATCCTCTCCTCTATATTGGGGAGGAACGTTGCGTGACGTTGCAAAAATAGCTGCAATTAAGGGAGGCTAAGATTTTAACGAATTGAAAGTAGTTTTATTATATGACTAGCCCAGCGAGCAGGCAAGGTGAGCTTATCTTGCCCGCTCCTAAGGGTTACCTGTTTCAGTAAAAAGTTCATAAAAACACAAAAGGAATTTGGGCATAGGCGCTAGGCAGCCATCTTTTAAGCGTTAAAGCACATAATTTTGGGATATGCCTTGCAGAAAGCTGCTTAAAATGGCTAAGTGGAAAAGGAGGAGAAATTAGTCAACAGAAGAATTTACTGGCGACCTCTTGATCTCCTTCTGTTTAAGTTGAAATATCAGGCTTGGCTTCATCAAGTAATATGAGCAACGTTGGCTCATGCATCTCCAGTGAATTCAACTTGCCAACCAAAACTCTAATTTAAAAAGGAACCACGCTTTTTCTATATTATTAACACATACTGACCTGAACATACTGACTGGATGTCTGTGTTACTTTCTTCAGATCTTCATGAAGAGCAGGAGTTTTAACCTCGGTATCTCTTTTTAATTCTATGTTCTCTCCATCTTTCAAAGAAATCTCCCTCGGAGAGTCATCTTTTCCGTGAATTAAGATCTGGAACTTCACTTGATGGTTATTCTTGTACTTGCGCAGCAAGGTATTTATGGTACCCTTCATCAATTCCAAGGCAACATTTGCGACATCTGAGGTTGCGTTTATAATAAAGGTAATGTCCATCTCTGTTGAAAGAGCAGTACTTTTGTAAAAATGTACCGAAGACGGATTCCTTTATAAATGCGACATTCTTAATCCCTTTTTGAAAACGTATTACTCAGTAAAACTCGGGCTAGAGTCGAGTGGTCCCAGCCTTACTTTTATGCTTTTTCCTGTCTTGCAGTCAAATGTACTAAATTACATCAGATGGATTGTCATGGAATGGTGTTGAACTTGTTTAATTTTTCAGATTAAATTATTATTGTCTCAACAAATCGCATGACAGGTTTGTCATTTTTTTGAAAACTGTATTTGAATCTATTACATTACTACATTTTTACTTCGCTCTTTTAAAATATTGACGGTCTGTTTGGAGAAAGATCAAAAATTGATGCAAGATTTAATCGGAGCAGGAAGGGAATTGAAACAGTTTGGATTCACTGTCCTGAAAGGTACTCGATACCAGTGGTATTACAAGGTTTATTGTCTCACTAAAGCGTAGCGTTCTATAGTGGCTAACAGTTTCTCATTTCTTGGCTACTGTTGATGGTACAAAGCCTTTTGGGCTGCTTTAAGTACAATGCAGGTGCCAGTCCCGTTGCTCCCTAGTGGGCAACCAACCCAGTTTGAGCATCTACGAACTTGAGTTACAACGCTGCTCTCTTGTTTGGTCTACAAGAGGCTCAGAGTTGTTTGTTTGCTTCTTGCTTTTTATCATTACTAGTATTTATTATTATTGATCACTATTTAATCAAGCCGTCAACATCCACTATTAGCTTTCCTATCGTTGTTAACAAGTGAATGTCTTGTTTACCTTTGCTTCGACGTGTAGCTTTGTTAAAGCAATGCTTGATATAAAACATAGTAAACAAAAATGGGAACATGAAAATGTCAAATAAACACCAAATGTTGAGAAAAAGCCATTTCCACCGTCCAACCTCCAGCCAGGAAGATCTCTTCATTTTACCGAATGTCCCGAACCACTTTTTCGTCATCAAGTTGTTCATTACTGGATGAGTGAAAAACTGCAATAAAAGAGTGCAAGTTGACTTGGAAAACTATTCTACTCCAGAATTATCTCCAAAAAGCATTCGCAGTTTCCGTGATAGCCCTTCACTGCCATTTACATTTAAATACGAAGTTACAGAGCTAAAAAAATTAAATCACCTTCTTTTGCTTCATTTCAATGCCAGCGTCTAAAAGATAATCCAAAGAATCCCTATAGGCATGACGAGCTTCCTTTTTGGACTTTAAAGGGTCAAGTAAACAACTGGTAAACTCGTCCACTGAGTTCGCTAACTTGGTAAAATCTTCTTCATCAGATCCTTTCCTCCCTGCTAAGCGGTGGAGCTTAAAATTCACCTGTGCAATTAATGGCGATAAAGGCTTTAAATTTGTTTGTCATGTTTTTTCGGTGTTATTTTTTTATAAAGGAACCTTATACAAAAGCATATAAAGTATACACAATCCGATCAGTATTGACAAAATGGACTTTGACAGAAATTCATTCCCACCATTCAACTTCCAGTCTACTGAGTCAGACGAACTCGGTCGATCTTATTTCACCGAATTTTCCCAATTCTTACCGGCTGCCAGCTCCTTCCTCGTAAGACAAAGCCCATTTCTTCCCCCATTCCTTGAAAAAAGTTCGAAACGTGTTTCGAATCCGGCTGTACTGATTATATGATGATTATTTTGATTATATCGTTGATTATTGATTATGTGTTATATAACCGTTTTTTTATATTTCATACCACTTGTTAACCGAAACTGAGGTCAATACATTGAGGCCGATATCCGAAATTTCCCTGTGATGACCGAATGGACGACTAGGTTAATACGTTATTATATGGCCATTGAGCTCTATTGTAAAACAACACAACACAACACACACTAGCTCTCGCAGTGGTCCTGTTCGCCGCTCAGTACTGTGTAGAAGTATCAGTATGCTAGGTAGGGTAAATATTTTTCTTTCAGTTACTGAAAAATTAGTTGTATGTTAATTGTCGGTATTTTTGGTTGTTTTTGACCATTGCGCTCGTAGCTTTTACTCATGAACTCAAAAGAGCCGTCACGCCGAGATGCCCGGTCATTACAAGATAACCTTGTCCGCTCCGACCGGAGTGCGCGTACTATTATTGTAGCCATCTATTAAATGTTGTGATAACCGGGATGTGTTGTTATATGTTGTATATCCGTCTTTTAAGGCGCTTCCCTATGGTGGCCCACAACTGTCACGGCAAAACCAAAAACCTCACGGCAAAAACAAAATACCTCACGTCAAAACCAAAAACCTCACGGCAAAAACAAAATACCTCACGGCAAAAACAAATTACCTCACGGCAAAACCAAAAACCTCAGGGCAAAACCAAATACTTCACAGCAAAAACAAAATAGGTTTGGTTTTACCGTGAGTATTTGCTTTTGCCGTGAGATATTTGGTTTTTGCTGTGAAGTATTTGGTTTTGCCGTGAGCTACTTGGTTTTGTCGTGAGGTATTTTGTTTGTGCCGTGAGGTTTTTGGTTTTGCCGTGAGGTTTTGTTTTTGCCGTGAGGTATTTTGTTTTGCCGTAACAGTTGTGGGCCACCGTAGCTTCCTTTTTTTGTCATCTTCATTTGGCATTTAGTGTTCGAAGACTACGATTAATACTGCCGCGTTCAATAGACTCTTCCAGCCTAAGGCACGAATTTTCCTTTTGTCATAATTATTCTTAAATATGCTTAGAATATGTATCCAAAATTTAAACTTGTCAAGAATCTTGCAAAGATTATTTTCCGCCTTCAAAAGACGCGAATTCTCTGATTCTCTGATTTGCAAGAATGTAGAATGATTTTCAAGGTGGCAGCAAATAAGAAGGATTGTCATTGTCCACACCCCCCGATCATCTTCAACTTTAACTGACGTCACATGATGTCATTTGCCTTTCTTGACTCGTTCCCAGTCTCTGGGACATTTCTGAAGGTGAAAAGGTAATTTTTGGAGACACATTTCTAAAGTTCAGAATTGTTAATTAAACTTATCTAAGGACAAAAATCAAAGGTTTTCCTACATTATTCTCCCTTAAGTGAAGTCATAAAAAGACAACTGAAAAAAGGATATATTGGGAAGAATTAACGCGTTCACAACAGGGTCAGGTGTCAAACTTACCTCCATTGCCATAAGTAAAGCGTTGGTGTTACATTTTGTAAGAGCCCGCGGTGTTATTTTGTCAGTGATCTCATCAAATTTGCCTTTCTCTAAAGAACTTCTCAGTGAGTCTTCAAATTCTATTGACAAAACAGTAAGAGATGTACAAAGCAAATGGCTGTCATAAATCCACTCCCTCTCTGTCTGAAACTGTTCGTGGAGGCGAGAAAGTGATGAGGGAAGAAAGATTCGTATATTTCGTCATAAGATGTTGAAAAGCGATTCTATATACAAATCAGTTTGTCTCAAATTCATCAACGAAAAAAAAGAGCAAAACGTTTTTATGTTTTCAATTTGCTGTCAAATATTATATTGCATAAACCTATATGCTTCATGCATGTGCTCCCTTGTTCCTGTTTTGTTGTTGGATGGTACTTTTGCTTCAAAACATCCCCTGAACATCTAATACTGTAAAATTAATCAATATTAGCAAGTACTACAGCATAGATAATAAGGTCTGGATTTTGATATTTTCATCTTCGTTACCGATACTGTGACCCTGCACTCCCCTAATCCGATTTCTTTTTCAGAGGTCTGAGGTAAATACGGTATACTTATCGCTAAAGATCAATTCAAAAATACTTACTGGTACTTTCTGTACTCTGATCTTCTTTGTTTCCCCCCAAATCATCAGTTTCTTTGTTTCTTTCCTCTAGATTTTCCATCTCCATCTCTTCACCTCTCCTGATTGTTACTGGGCTGCCCGGTGTAGCCATACATGTATTTCCTTCCTTGCGTCGACTAAATGACAAAGGGTTGCACAACAGTAACCAAATATCGTTAACTGTTTCAAATATATAGATTTAGTAAAGGGAAGCGGCCATTAATAATCTTTTAATTACTTAAAACGAAAAAAATGAAAACGAATACGCTTCAACCTATGCATATCCAGAAAATGATACTTAGCTGATTTTAAAACAAAAAGAAAAAAAATTATCAAGCAATCACATTTTAATGTGAATAATAAATAAAATAAAATAAATAATAATAAAATGAATGAATGAATCAATTAATTAATGAAAATTAATTAATTGATTGATTGATTCATTTTATTTTGCATTAACCAAAAATACAACAAAAGTATACAGAAATACATTAAAGATAATACACAATATTCCAACTAAATTATTTACAAGATCAAATGTGGTAAAGGCATGGAAGCCTATATAGAAGCCGGGGGCTTATAAACTATAGGCTTCCTGGAACTATAGGGTAAACCATACAAGTTAAGGGTACTGAATGAAAATTTGGATTCATTTTTAAAAAATAAATAAATAAATAAAGAAGAGAAAAAAGAAAAAGAAAAGGTGTGTAGCTCAGCAAAGAGTCAATTTTATTTTTTAATAACTAAGAAAGAAGAAATTTTTGGAGTCTTTTGCCAAACAAACTGATACTTTCACTGTTTTGAATTTCCCGACTTAGCGAGTTGAAAAATGTTAGACCTTGAAACCGAATTGAGAATTTTCGAAAATTAGTTCGACAATGAGGTATATAGAAAAGGCTGGAATTTCTTGTATTATAAGAATGTATCTGGCTTGCAAGAGTAAACATATCACGAATATAATTAGGAAGTAAGCCTCTTTTAAAAAGATACATAAATTTACCTATTCGGTATAAATAAATGTCTGAGAATTTTAAAATCTCCTGCTCCTTAAAAAGAACACCGGTATGAGCATCAAAAGAAACTTTAGGAGCGACGGCCAGGAAAAATCGACCAATAGGGACCTTTAGCATCAGGTTTTTCATGGGAAACGGCAAACCGCAAACCTCAAAATGTCACGTGACCACGGCCTTGCGGTCACGTTTCCAGTTTGCAGTTCACGTTTGAACCGCAGGAAGGGCTTCCAGCGGTAAGTGATTTACGGCAAGGTTTTTTGCCACAAAAATTATACAGCCTCGCGTTTAAAGGTATGAACTAGCTTTTTATATCCATTTGCGATGTGTTTGTTGGGTTTTTGATGTCGAATGAATGAATTATTGCTGATTTTTGGGCGATTAAAGTGATGCACTTTGACTTGATGAAAACAACATGGCGGCGCTAAACAATGAAAGCGTAGTTCAAATCAATTTTATATTCCTTTTTCCCGTACTAACAAAGGAAAGTATTCTGTTCCAATCTAGAGTTAAATTTTTTTTTCTTTCTTGTCACTGAATTCATAACTTAACTCAGTCTCTGTTTGGTTCCTATTTTTAACGTATCACTCCGCGAACATCATTTTATTTTGCTTATTTCTTTGCAGTTCTTTGAGACTGGGGAGCCCAGGCTTCATAAAACCTTCTGGTTTCTTCTGGGCTCCCTTGCAACCTTACAATTCCTATATGTATTCTTTTATTGTATTGTATTTTGGCTAAATAAAAATGAACTGAACTGAACACCTTGCTAAAGTTTGAAATCTCGGCAACGCGAAACTGCAAACCCGTAACTGCCGTATGCGGTTTGCGGTTTACCTGATGCTAAAGGTCTCTAATATCTTAATTTCGTGGCAAGAGTCGAAAAATCAATTTCTTTCATTTTTTGGTTCATAGATAGCTTTTAGGTAGATAAGAAACCTAACGTAGATTGTTCCTGTCAAAAGCCTTTTATTTGTGAGAAAAATTAGAAGATTGGTTTTGGATGTCGGAGTCTCAGACTGCCCTAATTTTTAACCTGAAATTCGCTAACATCAACTTTCCTCGCGTTCGCAAACGAGGCCGTATGGAGAAATTTGGACACTTTCCATGAACAGAAAAATTCTTTTTCTTCCAGCAGAAACTCATAAGGGGTTGAAACGTGTAACTCTCATATGTTTGCTTTGTCCGATGCTCGTGATTATTCATTTTCGAAAGTACCATATTTGGAACCAGAAGAAGAGATAACTGACCAATCAAACTTCGTAAACAACGTGATGTAATTTTACTTCAGGTTCCCGAGCCCGCTTAAAAAAATGGCCCACAAACGGGGCAAAAAACTCCCGAAAGCCGAGAAAGCCTTCAAAGGTTGAGACCAGGAATCTTACCGAAACGCTGAGCAGGATATTATTGCCTTCCACCCGGGCCAAACGTAATATTATGAAACCCATTGACGTCCTCACAACTACTTGAAGTTGTCACTTCAAAAAACGATGCCTCGTCGACCCTCTGCACGGTAAACTTATGCTATAAATGGGCTTTTAAAATTCTTATATTAAAAGTCTAGAATAAACAGTAAAAAATATTTTCAAGTAAAATTCATTAGCTGCGTATCGAAAAGTGTCCAAAACCTGAACCTGACATCTTCGCAAAAAGTGATGCGTGTAATGAATGTGAGAGGCATTTAAGCTTAAATTCAGCTTGGATGTTGTGGTCACGATCGTGTTTTGAGCTAATTTTATGAATGAACAAACTCAAAATAATAGACAGAAAAGCCGTTTCTTGAAAATCTTTATTCAAAGTCCAAAAAGTTAATCCTTTAAAGCAATCCAGAAAACACTATCTGGATCGTGGACCCGTTCACAAAAGTGAAATCGGCTGAGCACATGGCAAAATTAAACACAAAATCCATCTCAAATTCGGGCACATTTTGTAATTTTTCTTTAGCGCCGAAGAAAAAAATTTATAAAACGTCTATGAAACATTTAAAGATACACAAATTCCCTTTCAAAAACGTAATTGTCTTGGCCATAGAATGCAAAATGTACCTGAAAATTCAGCAAAAACTTCACTGCCTTGGTTGCATTTCAAAACAGACCATGCACTCCGTCGAGAAGAAAATAAGTTTGAATTCCTCGAAGGACAATTTCTTGATGAAAAGCTTCCCTTCCTCCACAAAAAGAAAGCTGAGCATTCTTTTGAACTTTTTCTTTCCATTTTTTGTCTTTTAAACTCGAAATGCAGAACTCTTGTCTTAAAACATCTGCATGGTGATCCCAGCCATTTGTTTAAAATGGATATCTGTCACGAAGGTTTTCAAATATGGTAAAAGTGAATATTCACGAGCATTGAACGCGAGTTACACGTTTCAACCCCTTTATATGAGTTTCTGCTTCCACTAAAAGATACTTTCAGGGCAATAGCGAAGCTCATCGTACTGAAATAATTCAAAAATGAGGGATAGGTTTTCAGGATAACAAAAACTTAAATTCGTTACTCATTTTCGACGGCAATATCTAATACGTGGTAAGGCTTTAAATTCTCTTCATGCTATTTAAATCACACATTTAGACATTCATTTAAAACATACAGTACCTGGGAATTGGCCTGGGTTATTTAAAGAAATCTTTGTAAGACACCATCGAAGTTCAGGAATTTTCATGGTAGGCCAGCGGTAATTGTGTAAACACTTCCAATTTCGAAACGCACAAAAGTAGCTATTTACAGCCTAAAGGCTCGTTTTTCGTACTTCTTGTAGGTTTTCCCATCGCAAAGTTGCTTTTTTCAATCATAGATTGGGGTAAAAAGTTCAAACTGGGTTAATTTTAGCCATTTTGAAACACTGAACTCTACCAGCCGGCGACTCTGCGTGACAGTCTATTCCGTTATTGCACGTGACATAACGTACGTTCGAGGAGACGGAGGTGTCAAAATGACAGTCACGGAATCACCGTAGTAACGCAACGCAATTCTTGAAAGTTAGAGTAACATTTTCGATGCCGACTGTATTTTGAAGAACAAAAATCAAACGGGCTAGTACTCTGGTACTCATTTTTTTATCCAAAAGTAAGGACTTTAACAATGTTAATTCGCTAAAGATGACGGAACAGGAAGATATCTCGTCATGTCTCTTTACCATCGGGGAAACTTGGAGCCGTTAAACAAGTTATTTTGGTCACCCTTTACTATATTTACCGGACTTGGATGCTTTCGTTTGGAGGCTGTCTTCAGGAACCCAAGCCAATTCTCAGGTATGCTTTAGATGAATGTCTAAATGTGTGAATAAACGAGGACTGGGAAAATTTGGAGCTATGCCACATGAAGAATAATGCCGCAGAAAACAGCTACTAAATTAAACTTTTTGTCACCGTAAAAACCTGTTCTTCGTTTTTGAATTATGTCAGTTCAACGAGTCTTGATATTGCTTTGAAAGTATCTTCTAGTGAAGGAAGAAGAGTTGTCCTATTGATGGAAAGTGTCTAAATTTCTCCTTGCGGCTTTATTTGCGAACGGGAGGAGAGTTCATGTTAGCAAATTTCGGGTTGAAAATACGGCCATTTTGAGACTCCGACCACGAAGACTGATATTCTTACTTTTCTCGAAAATAACAGGCTTTTTGAAAGAACAACTTACATCATATTACGTATCTACCTAAAAGCTATTTATGGACAAAAAATGAAGGAAATCGATCTTTCAACGCTTGCTACTTGATGATCGATATTTCCTGACCGTCGCTCTTTCTAGAAACGTTAAGAATGTGAGGCTTCCATGACAAATGCTCATCGAGGATAACACCTAAAAATACTGTTTCTTTCACACGTTGAATAACATTGTTGTCAATTTGAATAGATATATCAAGTGTTTGCCTCCTTTGGCGTGGTCTAAAAACCATAAAATTTGATTTTTTAAAGTGAATGGACAGTTTATTTGCTCGACACCATTGGGCAAGAGTCTGAACTGATACCATTTAAATTCCACATATTGTTGTCTATTATATACTTAGATAGCTTTTGAACCATCTAAGTGCAGTGCCACGAACACCATAATGCTCTAATTTTGAAATTAAAATGTTATGATCAACGGTGTCAAAGGCTTTAGACAAGTTTAT